CATGTGTATAACATTTTAAATACAAAATCAAAAATTATTTCACAATAATTAATAATGTTATTTAATAATTTTTTTAATAAATTATTTAATATTTTATTTAATAATAATTTATATAATCTTAAATGAAACTTGAGATAATAAGATTAAATTACAAGATAATATAATTGAATAAGATATTCAAAAACCAATTAAAAGAATTTGGATCCTTTTGTGAATATTATTTAAAAAGTAAAAAATTCTCTCTAATTTGGATTATTGACCCACTTTTCACTAATTCAGAATTAGAGAAAATTTATTTCTACAAATATCAGTGATATAGCTAAATTATTGTACGAAATAAATTGAGATAATATATTGTTATGCAATTATGTATAATATGAATAATAGCATTGTCACACTAAATTACAGCTAATTGATACAGCCAATTAAGGACTTGTTGTCAACAATATATAGACATAAATTTTAACTCTTTCAAAATTCGATTACTATTATACAATTTAATAATTCCAGAGAATATATAATATAAAACAATGATATTCATTTGACAATAAAATTATTCTCAAAATAATTTCTTTGTTTAAAATTATATCTTTGCATTCAATTTAAAAAAAAAACTAATCTCTTTTCTTAAAAGATTACTAAAATTATTATTAAATAAAATTTATGTTAATAGCAATTTAATGAAAATTGTAAAATATTTATCAAAAGCCTATTTTTTAAATTCAATCTCTAAATCTAAATTAGTAAAAATGTTTACTAATTTAAATTAGTGACTCACTTTTTGCTTTAGAATTAGTTAAATTTTACTAATTGTTAGTAAAAGTTACTAATAATTAGTAAAATTTTACTAATTGAGAAGCAAAAAGTGAGTCACTATTTCAAATTAGTAAACTATTTTACTAATTCAGATTTAGAGAACAAATGACCTATTTACAAATTATTATTTTTAAATAAAAATTATAACGTTTTCAAAAAATTCCAAAATTGACTTAATTTGAACTTTCTAAACTAAAGGAATAGAGAGAGAGAGAGAGGGAGTAATAAATGTCAACCTAAATTTTAAGCATCAAATTTATAAATAATAATAATATTATTATTAATGTCACCTCTGGTTCGAAATACTAATACCGCAATCTAATTTCATTTCATGATAATAAATGGAGAACTAGATTCAAAATGATTGTGAACTCCGATCTGATATATTTAGAGGACGAAGAAAGGAGCCCTTTAGGAATAATTTTCTACCTACATTGTGGTCGTGACTTGACCTCTATAAAGTACAATTCCTTTCCTCATATATGACCATAAAGTACAATAATTACACTATAAAATATCGTACACAAAAAAAAATTGCAAACACGATAAGAACGAATTTATCGTCAACGCAAAAAGAAAGAAAAAAAATAATTTACAATCAGTAAATTCATTTAAACAATTTCAAAAATATATAATTTTTATTATATATTTATTTATATAAAATTCCAAAAGATTTACTGAGAGTTAAAATAAAATTTTTCCGCATTTTCTCATATATATACATATAACTATATATTCTTATTCATTGGTCATTCTTGCATATTTTATGCGAAAGATAAGTTCGTCGTGTCTGCCAACTATAATTTGGCAACGATTTTCACGAAGCGGTAAAAATCGATACGCAATAGTCATATATATAAAAAAATGTTTATACAATCTTAGTGAATGTACGATTTTCATTTACATAAAAATCGATTCAATTTTCACTAAAAACTGCAATAAATTCAGAAAATGAAATATATATGTCAAATGAAAAGAACAGAAAGTATAAGAAAAAAAAGAATCAAGTTTTTCTATAATACTAAAAAGTACTTTTACAACTGATTAATTTTCCTATTATATGACTATATATATATATATAAACACGAGAAAAAGATATTTCTAGAAAAACAAGTTTTAATATATCTTGCAATGTGATTGTCAGCTGTCTGTGCGAAAACGAAACAAAAATATCATTGACATAGATTCGTCGCGTAAAAATAGAGGCCAGATATATAATCAGGGTTTTGCCATTATATATCCACTCTAAGGTGAAGATCTCCCACCTTCAATTTTCCCGTATCTTTCCCTATATATCAATCATTTTCTCAAGCATCCACTTTGCGCCTCTTTCCCTCGAAAAATCCCATTTCAAAGTGTCTTTCTCTCAATTTTTTTTTTTTCTTCTTTTTTTTCGTTGCAGTTATTGTCAGTATTTTCCAGCTCAATAAAACTGACACGTTCACAGTCTTGTCAATTTTTATTGTTATTTTAACGTTCGACTTTTATTAAAATAGAGTACACTATACAAAAATAATAACCCGCAGAGGTATTGTTTTCACTTGACTATATATTTCTACTCTCGACACTTTAAATTAACTAAAAATAAAAACAATTCAATTGAAAGCATTTAAAAAAAAAAATGTTTTTTTTTTTTGCAATTGAATTTAATTTCAGGCATATATTATAATTATTTTAATTGTGTGTGAATAATTTTGAAAATGAATTTTTTCAAGCACTAAAAACGACCCGTCGTTGAAACTTTCACCGTAATGAGCGGTTCTTCCTTTGGGTACTTTTTACAAAAAGCCAATTACTTTAAGAGTACGAGAAAACCATCTTAGCATCACGAATTCATAAAAGAATTTTTACCAAAGTGACTATATATAAATGCATTTTTTTTTATTATATTCTATATTTGAGAATGCTACGAAAAAATTGTCTTTAAGAAAAGAAAAACTTGAAAGAAAATATTCAAAATATTTAAATATTTTGTTATAAGAAATATTTTGACAATTTTTTTATTCTTTGAACAAATATCAATCTTTTCTTTTATCAAAGTCAAGTATTTTTCTCAAACAAACTATTTTTGCATCAAGTCAATATTGCATAAAATCCTTTAGTTTCCGGAAAATTATATATTCATATGTATAAAAGAAAACACGAATGACAAAGGTATTTTACCTTTAAATATCAGAAGAAAAAAAATTCTTTTTAGTAAAGAAAAGAAAGAATTTCACGAATTTGTCGTCTAATACAATTTATCGTTTCATCGAATAAAAAAATTCAATGAAACTTAAAAATTCCATAATGGAAATGAAAATCTAAAAACTAAAAACTATTCTTTTTGATGATAAACTCAAAAAAGAAACTATACTTTTTATTGTATCCCACTCTCTAAATATGAATCAGTGAAAAAGTCACTGGTCTCAAATCAGTCGCTAAATTCTAGCTATTTGAATCAGTGATTTTCACTGACAGTTAGTGACATTTCACTGGAGAATCAATTACTTTGACTGAAAATAATCAGTGAAATGTTACTGATTCAAATAGCTAGAATTTAGCGACTGATTTGAGACCAGTGACTTTTTCACTGATTCAAATTTACAGAGCAGAATAGAAAAAAAAAGTTATTGAAACGCTTCAGGCATTGTGTGAACAACATCAAAAAAAAGAGTAATAATTTCAATTCTTTTTTCCAATCACAGAAATGAATAAATAAAAAAAATAAAAAAAAAAAAATCGATAAATTGGTCAACTATATTTGAAATATTTAAAATAATACAAGGAAATCTCATTTATAAAAAGATTGACTCCTTGATAAAAAGATTTTTCAACTGAGATAACACAAGACTTTTACCCAACAAATAAAAAAGAAAGTCAAAGTCATCTTGATCCATTCAAACCATTATTCAACTATTCAACTGTTTCTTTGGACATTTTCCAAAAGTGCAAAGTATGTTGTAAAAGCATCAAGAAAAGAATGTAAATATTTGAATTTACATCGACTACTAAATGAAAATTTTCAGCATTGTATTACAAAAAAGAAAGGAATAATCACTGATTGAAGACATTTCTGATTTATTATCATTTCTTCCGAAAAAATATTGAAATAAAATCTAATTACGAAATCATGGAAACTCTTACTACAAATTTACATATTTTCAACCATATTTAAAAAAATTGTAATTATATAATCATTTCACAAGTTATCACTAAAAATTTCCATTTTATCGAATTACTAAAATTTTTAATTAATCGGGATTCTTGGTTAATTAAATGCAAACACGGAAAAAAACTATCCATCTATTATTATATTGAAAAATTTCTTTTTCAACGTTAGAGCAAAAACCAATATTCGTTCATGAAAACTCACAGCATTATGCATTGAAAGAAACATTGAATGAAAGAATATGTTAATAAATCGTCATAATTTTTCCAACATCGAGAGGACTATCATCTGTATAAGTGAATAAATGTCATTCAATGTGATTCAACTTGATGCAATATGCATTACTCTAACTTTCTGCCGAATTGAATTGAATTTCATTAATCTTATTAAATACCATTAGTGCTCCTAGTCATTTCAGTAGCAATAACACACCATGAAAATGATTAAAAAAAGAAATCCAATTTATTATATAAGACAACGAAAATATAGTAGTTTTCTTTTAATAACATTATTTTAATTGAACTATAACAATTGTTGTTCTAGTTTCTAATAGAGATTTAATTTACTTTTACCTCATAATAATAAATCATTTATGTCCGTTTATAAAAAATTAAACTATACGAAAATATTTTATTTAATTACATTAAAATTATTATCATTTGAAACTATTAATATTTTGATGGATCATTGTTTGAAACTGCTATATCAATTAAAAATACCATTACAATTAAAATTACCAATACCGCATTGTGGTTATATGTCAACATAAATGAAATCTCCATAAATTTCTATACTAAATAGAATCAGTTAAATTACAATTAATTTTTACTAATAAATTTGTAACTAATTCCAATAGTAAAAAATACTGTACTAAATAGTAGTACTGACAGATTTAGATTTCTGTTTTCTAATAATTCTAATTAATTTGATAAGAATTCGAACCCTTTCTTTACATCTAGTATAATCATAGTGTTAAATAAATACCCTCGACTATATTCGTTACCATAGCAACAAAGGATAAAAAAGAACTCACCCCAACGTGGTCATGGTGACAATCGTGTACCAAAACGCAGCCGGTATCGATGTGAAATTTGTTCCTTCAACGTTCTTTTCCGCATAGAACATTACCGTAGCAAATATAATGATAGCCATTGCAAGGGAAAAAACGAGAAATCCAAGTTCAGAGGCGCAAGATTTTAAAGTGTAACCCAGAATCCTAAGACCCTGTGAATGACGCGAGAATTTGAAAATTCGAAAAACACGAAATACACGTAATGTGACAAATGCCCCCGAAACATCATCATTGTCCGTTATTCCCAATCCAATATAATATGGCAATATGGCTACCACATCAATAATCGACATGACTGATCTTGCAAATTTACATCTACTAGGTGCTGCAAACAACCTCAATAAATATTCTGCTGTAAATATCATAACACAGGCAGTGTCCAAGCAGAAAAATACAATCTTATATCTCTCCCCACATGATAGGGTACCTGCACGACCAGGTCGATTACCACAGGGTACCGTCTCAACAACATTTGCCAATACACTGACAGCAATGAAAAATCCTGTCACATAATAAAATACCAATGCCGCCGTCGATATATGAGGATTTTGAAATGCTCTCCACATTTTTTCTCGATTATCCGTTAGCTGTTGTAAATTCTGATCACCATTCTCGCTTAATTTATCATCCATAAGTCGTTCGGCATTCTCACGTTTTCGATCTCTATAGTCCTCATAACAACAATCACCAATAACATCAGGAAGAATTCCAAAGAATGCAAGTTCCTCATCATAACTTGTCAAACATTCATGCTTTGGATAATGAAGTTTACCAGTACGATAATAATTGAGTATATGCCGAAATATATCTGGATCACGATCAAAGAAATACTCCTTACTTTCTTCATCATAGAAAAATTCCCTTTCATTCGATCCAAGTAATGTGTCTGGATATTTTTCTAATGTATTTCGCCAGGTCTCAAAACGACGACCACTTACGTTAATCAACAATTTTTCATCATCGGCCTTGCGACGATCTTTCGATATCGGTGGTGGTGGTAAGGGATGGGTGGCGATCGGCACCCATCCAATGGCAGCCGCTCGGGCAAACGGCAACCATGCCGCAACCGAGGCCATCTTTCTTCAAACTTTCTTTTTTTTTTCTTTTTTTTTTCTTCTTGACCCAATCTATTGGGACAAATGAGGCTTATCAATCATCATCAAAAAAAATTAAACTTGAGTTCGTCCGAAATATTTTTTATTTAACTAAAACAGTTAATATTAACTATAACTTTTTGTGCCGCTTACACGAGGCGTCGACGACGCCGGCGACGACGTCAAGAGCTGCGGCGACGTCGACGGCGACGACGACCACGCCGACAACGTTGATCTATGACCCCCTGATCTAGTGAGGTCTCGTGTCATCGCCCCCAAGATCATAGTTCGGCATCCCTCTTAAATTCTCCACAAGAGAAATTCACAATATTCCTGACCCTACAACATTGATGTTACGCAGCCGAAATGACCGCACACGCGGCAGCAGCACTAGCCAACAACGTCTTGGCACTTTGCCTTTCACCATTATCAATATATACAACACTTTTCCTCTTTAGAAATTCTCATTCTTCTGCTTCAAATTGATCAGAATCCTCTCTATCTCTAATGATGTTATTTCAACAACAATACCGCACACATCAGAATTCGCTACATTCCCATTGAATTCCATCGACCTCCAAGTCGAACATCAACTAATTCAACTGTCGCTGCAGTGACCTTCATTTCTGACATTCCAACGTTCTCCAAATTACATTCAAATTTTCAATCGAACCCTAAGTTTCCGTAATTTCTAACTACTTGTCAAAATGCATTCCCTCTAAACCCGGCTTCATTTGGCAATTTTTTCAAATCTGAAATATAACCAAATTTTTGAAGTCAAAATTTTAAAACTAAATGTAATAATCACAAAGGGTTATTTCTTCTTCTTCTTCTTTAAGGTGAAACGCGGTACATGCGAGAATGACAAAAATGCCGCTCGAGATTAGTGAAAGCGCGAATCACCCTATTCGATGAGTTGGTCACTCACGACTGCCAGAGCTTGCGAGGCTTTTGGGAGAGCCCGGCTCCAGAAGCGTGCTCGCTCGCTACGAAGCGACGCAAGCAACGCCACGCAAACGTACCTACCTACCTAGCCAAAGTCCAAATTGATTTTTACGGGACGACGTCGGTGGCGACGCTAGGCGTCCCAACTCAGTAACGCTTACGTTGCCCGGGCAACACTCAACAATGACGTCATAGCACTTTTCCCCACTATATTCCTGCACCATCCTCCTTCTCGATGAATAATCTCCCTCTCTCTTTCTCTCTTACCAAGAACCGCGGAAAACTTTTCTCACATCCACCCTGTCCGCGGCTATTGTCTCTAGTAGCACTACTGCTCTCCATCTCTTTCTAGGTTACCAGTTTTACCAGGGCCGTGTTCGTAGACACTTTTACCCTCCAGGCAAAACTGGCCCTCTTGAAGAAGAGAAGAAGAAAAAAGAAATCGTGAAAAATTATTTATAAGCGTAACCCCCAAGCCATTTTTTTTCTAAATAGACAAATTTTGCATCCCACTTGAAAAAATAGGTCTTCTACTCGGGTCAAATTTAGCAAGAGGACCTGTTTTATTTATACAAACGATAAACAATTTACGAAGTTAAATTTAATCTTTTCATGGATTCTCCTTTAGGGATATTTTAAAATATAGAAAACTGTTTAAATTCATATATAAAATGTATACTATTACTCTCTAAATCTGAATTAGTAAAAATGTTTACTAATTTAAATTAGAGACTCACTTTTTGCTTTAGAATTAGTTAAATTTTACTAATTCAGAAGCAAAAAGTGAGTCACTAATTCAAAGTTGTAAACATTTTTACTAATTCAGATTTAGAGAGTAAATTTAGGTTAATTCTTAAAGAAACATCTTTTGCTAGCACCTGAACTTATTGTTATAATGATCTCTAAATCTTAATTAACTTTTGACTAATTCAACTCCGATTCGTTTATTAAAGGAATTAGTAAAAAATTTAACTAATTCTTAGTCAAAAATGACCAATTGATAGTAGAAAACTAATTCATTTATTAAATTTTACCAATTGAAATAGTAGCCTAATTATTAGTCATTTTTGACTTCTTCCAGTAACTCTATACATTTCAGACAAAACTTAATTTTAAATTAAAACACTTAGAAGTAGCTGAATTTTAATATTTCCGAAACTAAAATTTATACTCTCTAAATCTGAATTAGTGAAAAGTAAGCTACTAATTTAAATTAGTAAGAATTTTCACTAATTTTTAGTTACTTTTTACTAAAACTTTAGTAAAGAAATTTAAAACTACTTAATCGAATAGAAATATTTTACTGAAAATTACACTGAAAAAAAGGTTTGGTATTAACAACCAAACATTTGGTTGGTATTTAAGCCCAATCAAACTTTAGTTAGGACAACAAAAATCCTTTTTTTTTCTAATTTTGGTTGTGTCAAACATATTTTGATTGAGACAATTAAAATTTTGTTGATTCAACAAAAAAAATTTTGGTTGCTTAAATACCAACCAAATGTTTGTTAGTCAATACCAAACCCTTTTTTCAGTGTAGTAAAAATTCTTACTAATGCGAATTAGTAGCTCACTTTTCATTAATTTAAATTTAGAGAGTAATTTCGTCATTTTTATCAAAGTTTTGATTTAAATTAAAATCAACAATTTAACTTACAAGGCTAATTTAATTTGAAATTTTTAATATAATATTTTATTTTTATTGTAATATTTCTAAAGTACTCAAGGTAATCAGAAAATATTATTTTTAGATTTATCTATAAATTAAAATTATAAAAGTAATTTTTATTATTAAAGAACTCTAAATATAAAATTAATTCTTTTAAAACATAATTTCGTGAACTTTAAAATTGTTCAATTTACCTTTTTGGAAAAAAAAATAATATAATAATATTTCCAAATTTTTTAGTAGTAAAAAATGCGCATGTAATTATAGTTATAAGAAATATATCTCTAACCTTAGTTTGCAGTTGATGATCTATTGGCGAAACACACACACGCGATTTAAAAAATTACAACGACATTTAAATTAAGAAAAAAAAAACTTTTCCCTAAAAATTTAAGTGATCGCGATTTTAAGAATTTTGAACACTCCTGGAAGAAGAAATATTTACTAAATAGAAAACCAAAATGTTTAACACTAAAATTTTTTTGTTCGCGAATTAAAAAATTCGATAAATCCCGAAGCTATTCATTAAAAAAAAAAAAAAAAAATACAAAATTATACGAAAATTACTTAATCTACACACCCGTTGAGCACGTCTCAACAGGTCACTACACGAATTGCAACTGATTCAATTATCTTTGGAATTTTATGACCTTCGGCTTAAGCATTCCCTTTGTACTTTAATGTAAACAAACCGCTCGAAACGCAGTTATAAAGATAATTCTAAAATCACTTGGACACGTTTTATAATACTTAGAAATTATAATTTGGTATTTCACTTAATATTTATAAATTATTTGAAAATATTAAAAAATTTTAAATACAAAATGAACTAAATTTTTTTTATAAAAACTTTAATGCCATTTTAAAATAAAAAAAATTCTCTTTTAGAAGTATTAATTGCATTGTATAGTTAAAATAATTTTATTAAAATTATTATAATTATATTAAAATTATTATAATTATATTAAATTATTATAATTATTTTAAAAGTGCTTTTCGCACACAACTAATGATGATGTAATTCAAAAACGTTTTGTCTGACTACAACTGACTACTACTACTACTGATACATATCAAAATCATAAAAATATTATATGTTACACCCAAAATAAAAGATATATTTGTCTCGCAGAGCTAAATAAATATTTATTTGTTTCAAATAAATTTTATTTGTTCTAAATAAATTCATGTATTTAAAACATAAATAAAAAGTTATTAGACACTGAGAAAAATAAATTTTTATTTACTTCAAATAAATTTTATTTATCACAAATAAACGCTAAAAAAATATTTCTCTGGATGTGTGTCTGACAGAAATTTTCTTTTATCAAAATTAAAGAATATTTGACGAAAAATTTAGTACAACTCATACTGTCATATCTCTTTAATCTTAAAAATTTTTGAACACTGCATATATTGCTCTATATACAGTACGCTCTAAGATAACGTCTGATAAATTTCCTACATTTCGACCCTTAGAACGAACCCTCTAGATTGGAAGGTAAAGCATTGATGTTAACTCGAATTTATATTCCAACTTAAATTTTTTACGCTATACACATCCTGAATTTTAGTTATAATGGAATACAGAAGTGTATAAAGTTTTCCATCTATTTATATATTTATATCCACGTGTCATTTAAAAAATAAAAAATTTAAATAAAAAAAAAAACACATTTTTTTTAAAACCTTTAACAGTTTGCAAACTCAACCTGTTGATCTTCACAGATAATAAAGTTTAATATTACGATAATGAAGAAAATGAAAAAAACTCATTTTTAAACAAAACATAAAATACTATAAAATCCAAATGAAACATTTACAGTCAATTATTCTACATTTATGAAAGAATAAACGATAAAGAAAAATTATGAATGTTATTAAAACCGATAATTAGGCTCATAATACTGTCGCATTTTTTTTAAACACCAGGATATTAAAGTTAACCAGCTTTATAGTATATAGCAGCGAAGAATATTTCTTTAATGATTGAAAAATTTTTTCAAGGGGGAATTTACTCAGGTAGTCAAGTGTACACTCTTCCTGTAATACTTGTGTAATAACGTGTAATACCGTGTAATAATGTGTTATTACGGTGCTGTAATAACGCAAAAAAGTCTGTAATATCTCTGTAATAATGTGTAATACTCTGTAATAACGTGTAATACTTGGTAATAAGGGTAATATAAGGTGTATTACCGGTAGTCAAGTGTACATGTTTTTAACTAGTAAATTCCCCCTCGAATTTTTTTTATTTCTAAAAATAGTTATTATTTTCCAAAAAGTACGATTTATCTTATTCATTAAGAAAGAAATTCTCCAATTTATTTAGAGATCATACACGATTACTGAAAGAAAATAATTACGAAATTTTATAATTGTTCTTACTATATTTATGAGAGAAAACATGTAAGTTAGTCAAAATTATTTATAGAGAAATAATATCTCAATCCTTATTATTATTATTTTTTTTTGAAATATTTATAAAAATATTCATTAAAAAAAATATATTTATAAAAAAACTCTCTAAATCTGAATTAGTAAAAATTTTTACTAATTTGAATTAGTGACTCACTTATTGCTTCTCAATTAGTAAAATTTAGTAACTAATTACTAATTTAACTTAATTTAGTAAATTATTAGTAACTTTTACTAACAATTAGTAAAATTTAACTAATTCTAAAGCATAAAGTGAGTTACTAATTTAAATTAGTAAACATTTTTACTAATTCAGATTTAAAGAGTATATTTGAGATGCGAAACCCTCCAATTTACTGACTTCAAAAAAAAGTTCATCTATTTATATATTCCTTCATTATTTAACTTCAAAGTAAAATAAATTATGCAAGGAAATGCAAAAATATTTGCGAATTTTTTTTCTGTAAAAAAAAATATATATATATAATTATATATGTATGACTATATATAACTAACAAAAAATAGAAAAGAAGCAACGCAACCAAAAATAACACACAGTGAAATGAGTAGTTGACACCCACTAAAGTATCTACCCCTTTTACTCTTTCTCTCGTTTTTATTTCAACCAACCTACAAAGTACAACCAACCAAGTAAACTTATATTCCACTAATGAACGCGGGAACTATAACCTCAAAATGCAAGTACCCACTCTTTCGTTCTGGCGGCAGTAGCGCTTGAAATTGAAGTGCCACCACAATCTACAGATTCAAAAACCTATTTTTAAGGGTGCAAAGCAAACTGGAATTACATATATTCCTCTGCTAAACCGTAACAAATCCAAAAAAAAAAAAGTGCAAAGGCAGAATAATTTAATATTCAGTCGCGAAAATTAAGATTTTTTTACACTTATTAAAAAAAAAAAGTAGAATAAAAAATTATTTCCTATATTTATAAAATTTAATTATTAAAACTCACCGATCAGATATTCCCATGTTGAAAACTTTGAAGAAATGACAGTATTGCTCAAATATTCTCCATTTCTGCAGTAGTGAAGTAGTAATGTCAATATTTAGTCAGCCTCTTTTCTCTTCAACATCCTCGATCCTTCATCCTCCTTTTCCTTTTGAATTTGATACACTCAACGTTGGTAGATTGTTGCCACAAATATCACAATATGAAGAAAAATTTCACTATAAAAAAAGTAAATATGTATATAATAATTATTAGAACACATCTGAGCAAAAATTACATTTCTAATAAATTTAAATTTCTAAACTCTATATAAAAAAAAGGAGAAAAATCGACGAATTTAATTTAATAATCATTTATATTATTAAAAACATAAAAATAAATAAATAGTAAATATATTTTTATTATATGACTAAAAAATCTTTTTCTAAATGGAAAAAAAATGTATAATAATTAAAAAATTAAATCCACTGCTCTCAAAAACAAAAAATAGTATTAAATCAAGAAAACCCATTTACTTGTCCGTATTTGATTCAATATTTTCTTGATTTAAAATATTTTTACCAATTTGAAGTAAATTTACTTGAATTAAAATTATTGGATCTGATACAGATGAGTAAATAATTTTCGAGAAATCAATGATACCTTTTTTTGAGTGTACACTACACATTAAATAATTAAATATGAGAATACAAATAAAGTGACAGTAATTAACAAAAATTGACACAATATTGAAAAAATAAAAAGTACTCACCAATTGGAGATTTTCGCGTCAAGATTTTAATCCATTGTTTAGACCTTCTTTTTTTTGAATGACTCCTTCATAACTATAAACAAAAAAAAGAATATATTAATGAAAATAATTGACAAATCTTATTAAGCAATTATTTAGAAAAAAAAAAGACAAATTTGATCGTCTTCCAGTTAAAAGCATTGTATTGAACACAAAATACACTAACATATGTATTATTTCCTAATTACTTTATTAATCATCAAAAGAAACAAATTTTCATTATTTCATATTAATTACACAAATCTTCCTTTTTTTATCAAATTCTTATTTCGAATTTAGATAAACAAAACTGGAAATCGAATTGCCGTGAAACAATTTTTAGGTTAAATTATTGGCGTCATTAAATTTGTTGAAATACTTTAACATCTGATATTTATCACTAATAATAATAGAAAATTTTTATTATTTAAATAAAACTAAACTTACCTATTAAAAGAATCAGCAATTTATGTAAAGATTATAAAATATCTTTTTCAATTCAGGCGATTCATGCAGAATGTTTGATAACTTTTAACCGCTCTTTCGTTTTCAGTAATAGGCAGTGATACCAACCTAAGATAACGAAACTACCAACCACATAGAGATGTTTAACGTGACGTCACCCCCTGTCGGTAAAGTCACATTAGATATCTCTGGGTGTTTTCGATAGTTACATTGCGAGTATATTCAGAGTATACTGTGATTGGCTGATCCATCAGCATGTTTATCCTGATTGGGTAATTTTCTAATCAGTATACTGTCAGCAACTCTCGAATACATTCTCCATTACTTTTGAGGTTAAATCTTGTTGTTATTTATTATTTTTCTTAAAAAAAATACATTGATCTCAAATAGTGTTAAATTGAAAAGAAAGTGGGTTTTTTTTTCGTGTATTATCTCTTCATCTGCCTTTAATGTAGTACAATGTCTCTATCCGAACCAAAACGAAAAAAATATATGAGTCAGGAGCAAAAGGAACTTCTTATTGGTAAATAAATCTTTAAATTGAATTTGTAATTATTCAAAGTGTTAATAATAACTAAATATTAGTTGCAAAAATACAATTATTTATTAAATTTTTATTTACTATATTTAAATTTTTTTTATAGGATTCATGATAAATCACCCGAAACTACAAACTGGTAAATTTAATAAAACATTTACAGTAAGAGATTCACAAAGACTTTGGCAGGAAGTCACTCAAGAATTGCATAAAATACCCGGTCCAACTAAGGATTGGAAACAATGGAGAAAAGTATGAAATTTGTAAATAAAATATTATTACCGTAACATTTAGTAAAAAAATTAAATATATTGTCATTAATTTTTTTTTTTACAGACGTGGCAGGATTTGCGTAGTCTTGCAAAATGCAGAGGCACTGGACTTAAAGACTTGTTAGAAAAAATGAACAAAGGATCAGAAATTTTATTATCGCAAAACAATAAAAAAGAAATTTCACTTAAGGGATCAACAACTGTTCATTTTTCTAAAAATGTAAGGGTACCTGAAGTAATATATGTAAGTAGAATATTATATAATATCACAATTAAATTTATGTCTAATTTAATTTGTATTTATAAAGTATACAATGAAAATTGTTTGTAGAGTTGGGATAGTAAGACGATAACCGAAGAAAATTCCAACTTCGAATGTTTAGATAGCGATGAAGAATTGGTACGAAACAATGTAGCACACGAAAAAAAACGACACGTGAACTCTGTATGGCAGGCGGAAAGTGTTAATATTAAAAAAGAGAAGTTAAATGAAAAGGATAATAAAATGCCAAAAAGAATAGAAAATGTAAATAAAACAGAGATAACGCAATTGGAATATTATAAAGAAAAATGTGATTATTATAAGAAAAAATTAAAAATTTTAGAAAGAGATGTAATAGCGAAGGAACAATTGAGTAAAGGTGTACAGGAACTTTGCACAATTATTCTTCAAAAATTTTCCAAATAAGTGCACTTTTCATTACCAAAACAATTTTGTTTCCTTATTTCAAATTCGTTTAATTTCTTGTTTTTTTTTGTAAATATCTGATAAAACCGTTCTTTCATTTTCAATAATTTTTCATTACAAAACAATCCATGGAAAATATTATAATTTTCTTTCTTTTGTAAATATCTGATAAAAAAACGTTTTTTTTTTTATTTTGAATAATTTCTCTTTACGAAAACAATCCATGGAAAATATTATAATTTCTTGTTTCACTGTGTTCAAATGCAATCTCTTCTAATTTTGCAATTCAATACTTTATTGTAAATGAATTATTTATAATAAATTACGAAAATATAAATAAATATTTTTCAAGTAATTATATTGTTATTATTTTCATTATTATATTTGAAATATTTATTATATACATTATTTATTTATTTATTTATTTATACAAACGGGCAATAACAACTTTGCCTAATTATACAAAGTACTAATTAACATAAAAGGAAATAACAATAATTAATTGGCCGCATTAGTATTATTGTCGTCGCTAAATACTAGATTGCGTAATTAAATAAATTATAGTTTTTAATAGCAAAAGTGAATTTAAAAAGATTTTTGTAAAACGTAATTTATAATTAATCATTTTTTCTTTTAATTGAAAATGAGTTTAAAATTACCGCACTTTCGTTTTAATCTTCTTTTGTTGGTCACCCTGTGTTATATTTTGAAGTTCCACTTTATTGAGTTGCAGACATTTATCTCAAAATGAAAACCACGAAAGTTTATTAAGTCGAATTCACAAGTGTCGAATTGACAAATGTTCTAACCTCTATTTCCATGAATTGTATATTAAACGAAATGTTATTGTTTCGAATACTAATATGATCAACTTTCATGCGCAAAAAATTATATTTTGATCTAATTTATATTTTCTATAATTTTAAATTTCTCTAATTTTTATTTATCCTAATCTTTATTTAACCTAATTTTCATAAAGTCGAAATATGAAATGTTATAATGTTGATTTAACCTAAATATAATTTATAATATAAGTAATTTGACATAATTATTATTTGTGGTAATGATTTAATGTACGAATTAAAATGAAATCAATTTTTCAAATGTTTAAATTATATTCAAAGCAAAATATTATTTTTTGGAATTATATTTTCACATAATTTCTATTTACACTAATGGATTAATGACAAAATTAAAAAATGTTAAATTTGTAATAGACTATACTCTTAAAGTTGACGAATTTTTATTTCATAAAAATTATTATTTGCCTAATTGTCATTTAATATAATGTGTTTCTTTACGAAATACAAAGTTCTTTAATTTTTATTCATCCGATTTATAAGATAACCTAAATGTTATTTTTCATATTTCTTATTCGTTATAAATAAGATATGTTCTAATTATTATTTATCATAATTTCTTTATTTTCGAATTTAATTCTAACCTAAATATTAAAATCATTAATTGTAAATTAATTAAATCAAATTTCGTCGAATATGCATTTCAACTAATCTTCATAGCATCAAATTATTATTTAAAATAAATTTTACTTAATCGAATTTCAATAACTTATAATGTACATTACATTTAATTTTTATTTAATTGAATTATCGCGCCACATAATTGTCACGTGTCCGAATCGTTTGTCGTCGAATTATAAAAACCCGAAAATTTGTAGCTGAATGAGTTTCCTATCTATGACATTTACGTTTTCTATTAGTATAGCCGATAATGTAGATTTAGATGTAGCTTTTGTCATTTTCTAATCTCTAGTTTTATTGAGCGTCAGTTTTAAATATTTCACACTTTATATGTATATTAATTTAATTACTATATGACGCTTTATAAATGTTATAAAATCATCGTTATTATAAATCTACATTATCGGCTATACTAATAGAAAACGTAAATGTCATAGATAGGAAACTCATTCAGCTACAAATTTTCAGGTTTTTATAATTCGACGACAAACGATTCGGACACGTGACAATTATGTGGCGCGATAATTCAATTAAATAAAAATTAAATGTAATGTACATTATAAGTTATTGAAATTCGATTAAGTAAAATTTATTTTAAATAATAATTTGATGCTATGAAGATTAGTTGAAATGCATATTCGACGAAATTTGATTTAATTAATTTACAATTAATGATTTTAATATTTAGGTTAGAATTAAATTCGAAAATAAAGAAATTATGATAAATAATAATTAGAACATATCTTATTTATAACGAATAAGAAATATGAAAAATAACATTTAGGTTATCTTATAAATCGGATGAATAAAAATTAAAGAACTTTGTATTTCGTAAAGAAACACATTATATTAAATGACAATTAGGCAAATAATAATTTTTATGAAATAAAAATTCGTCAACTTTAAGAGTATAGTCTATTACAAATTTAACATTTTTTAATTTTGTCATTAATCCATTAGTGTAAATAGAAATTATGTGAAAATATAATTCCAAAAAATAATATTTTGCTTTGAATATAATTTAAACATTTGAAAAATTGATTTCATTTTAATTCGTACATTAAATCATTACCACAAATAATAATTATGTCAAATTACTTATATTATAAATTATATTTAGGTTAAATCAACATTATAACATTTCATATTTCGACTTTATGAAAATTAGGTTAAATAAAGATTAGGATAAATAAAAATTAGAGAAATTTAAAATTATAGAAAATATAAATTAGATCAAAATATAATTTTTTGCGCATGAAAGTTGATCATATTAGTATTCGAAACAATAACATTTCGTTTAATATACAATTCATGGAAATAGAGGTTAGAACATTTGTCAATTCGACACTTGTGAATTCGACTTAATAAACTTTCGTGGTTTTCATTTTGAGATAAATGTCTGCAACTCCACTTTATTACTTTGGTTTACACCTACCATTCCCTGTTGCCCCTAATTTAACAGTAAGAAGCGCGCTCGCTCATTGGCTCGGAGTTAGCCAATAGGATGCATTTAGGAAGGGAGCAAGAACTAGTGCTGCGCGCGCACATCCTCAGTGTACACTTGGATGTCGGTCGGGACGGTTCGTTTACAAGTAAAAAATTGTTTAAATTTTAAGTTTTTAATCGGGATATTATCGCTATAACCATGTTATTTGTTATTGCCAATCTGTGATTCCTCTTCGGGATAGTGTTTTGTTGTAGTGTAAAGATGTTCGTGTGTGAAAATTAAAGCTTCAAAAAGTTGATAACTTTGGGTTCTTACGAAGTGTAACGGTTTTTCAACTATGACTCGTTACTATATTTTTAATGATTGTCATTTATGTTGGTATTATTAATAACAATACTCAATTTTGTTCGTCTGAAGCAATGTCTATCAATTGCTCCTCTTTTTTGTTAATTGTCATTCGAGTCACTTAAAAATCATCTTCTGAAACAACTGACATTTCAGTAGATAATTTTGGCGGGAAACTCATGTAGTAGGCAGGGTGCAGATTAGTGCGGATTAGCGGAGTATAAAAGAGTGTTTGGATTCGATATTAAATTAATTGTTATAGTGGTTTAGTTAAAGTGAAGTGTCGATGTGTATTTTAAAAGTGTTTTGTGCTCTTTTTTTGGATTAGAACGAGGTTTTAGAGGAGCAGCTCCAGAGGGAGATCTTGTTCATCAGACTGCAGCCAAATGTAAGTTTATTATTATCATTATGATTAATTTTTCTGATTTTCAACAAAATTATTGTTTATTTAAAATGATACTTGTCACATGCGATAGTGTTCCCCTCACGCGAAAAAGTAAACCTCTACTCCCAGCAAAACGTCACATTTCGGATGCTCATTCTTTATGTTATTAGGGCGCGTCCACATACCTTCAAGCAGATATGTATACACCTTAACGTTATGATTCATGTCATTTCATTATGACACCTTTGTGATAATGTATATATATACATTACGGGGAGATTAGATTTAGAAATTACATTCTCTAAACTTTTAACAGCAGAGTGTCATTCTAAAATTTTGATACTCTGATGATGCAAATATTAAGGAGAATATGTAATGCAAATGTACAGTGACAATTCAAATTGGAAAGTGCAGTTTATACAGTTTGTGCAGTTCAGAGAATATAACCTATAAATTCAGAATGGATCCTGTTCAACGTTTAAAAAATATTTCAGATAATTGTAAAACTGTTTCAGTGGATCATAATATTCCACCTATAAGGTAATTATACAATCAAAATTGTAAATTCAAAAATTTGTTTTTACATAATAATTCTAGAAGACATAATAAAAAATAATTTTTTTAGAATTGAAATTCAAAATTGTTAAAAGTAATTATTACTCCTTGAATTTTTGTAAATCTATATTTTTTACATATTTATAGTTTATAATGTTCTGTTAACTTTTCTTCAATAAGAGTTATATTTATAAGGTTATATACAGATATATTCGACAGAAGGGAGTAATGTTTATATTAATGTTTGTATTTAAAATTAATAGATTTTGCAGATCTGGAGTAGAAATGATTAGACAAGCAGATATTTATTTGGCAGAGGGAACATTAGAACGAGCTTATAATATTTATATGAGATTTTTAACGTAAGTAGTAGCAATTTATTAATAAAATTTTCGATTTATATAACAGTTATTGCCGTTTTTTTAAAACAATATTCTTTTTTTTGTTGTTTTGTTAAATATGTAATTTTCTTTATATCTGATGTTTTAAAACAATTTTACTATGTAAGTCAACTGTAATTTACTTTAATGCGTTCAACCTTTATATGTATGTAAAATCAATATATTTTTATTTTAGAATATTTCTGGAAAAAATAAGAGAACATCCAAAGTACAATACAATTTCACCGAAATTTAAATTATGGATACAACAAACACTTCGGGAAGTTTTACCAAAAACGGAAGAAATAAAAAAGAAATTACTCGAACAATATGGAAAAGAATCGTTGGAAGTTGAAGAAAAAAGGAGAATTGAGAATGAAAGACTTAAACGTGAAGAAATACAAAGGTAATATCTGTAATGTATATTTAACAGAATTTTCAGTCTATATTTTTTAAAAATTGTTAATAATAATTACTATGTAATTATTATTAATTAATTATTATTATTATTATTTTGTAATTATTATTTTGAAGGTTACGCGAAGAAGAAAATAGAAAATCTTTAGCAGCTTTAGCTAAACCAAAAATAGGAATTAGTGCTGGTGCTATGATTGCTGGTGATACGAAACCAATTAAACCTTTATATCCTCCTTTTACTACTCCCATAAGTCCTCGATTAGATCCTAAAGTTACATCGTCAGAAGACAAGTAATTATTTTATTTATAATATTTATTTATTGTAATTAATTAATTGTAATATTTAAATTAAAAATGTCACATTTACAGAAAAATTCCATCTGTTGATCGATCAACAAAACCGATACTTCATGATGATAAACTCGGCCTCCGTGATATGGTTTTGCCAACAGAATTGATGAATCATTTCTTGAGACTTGCTACACCTAATACAATGAGTAAAAAAGAAACATGTGGAGTTTTAGCGGGAAAATTAGAAAGAAATAAATTAATAGTTACACATTTGTTGATTCCACATCAAACTGGATCTCCCGATTCATGTTTAACTCACAATGAAGAAGATATATTTGATTATCAGGATCAATATAATCTTATAACCCTTGGATGGGTACATGTGAGTAGAATTTTTCTATTTAAAATTTAATTATAAAATTTTCTTTCGAAAATGAATGGTAATTATTATTTTACTATTGCTATTTATTCAATTCTTAGACTCATCCAACTCAAACGGCTTTCTTATCAAGTGTAGATCTTCATACACATTGTGCTTATCAGCTTATGATGGCTGAAGCGATTGCAATCGTTTGTGCACCCAAATATGAGGAGTAAGTTAAAAAAAAATAATTAGAAAAATTTGAAAATCTTTTTTTTTTTTTTAATTTAAATCTTATTTTGTGTTTCATGTAGAACTGGATATTTCATACTTACTCCAGAATATGGTTTAGATTTCATTGCAAATTGTAGAGAAAGTGGATTTCATCCTCATCCAACTGATATGCCACTTTACAAAGTAAGTTTATTATTTTAATTTATTAAAATTTTAATCTAAAAATTCAACTATAACAAAATGCAGTTCCATACAAATACTTTTTAAGTAATTATTGTGATATTCCATTTCTCACTAATTAAACATTTTTTTGTACAAATCTTGATCCATTTTATTTATTGATTTTTTTTTTCTTTGCAGGAAGCGAAACATTGTAAACTGGATCCCATGGCGAATGTTGAAGTTATTGACCTGAGAAGAAAATAACTTATGTGATTATTGTATCACTGAAAAAAATTAACGTTTCTTAAAACTCGCAAAAGAACAGTAACTCCATTTTTTATGAGTTAATTTCTTTATATTTGTTTCAATTGTTAAAATGTATGAATTCATTTTTATGTAATTATTTTGTATTTTTTAGATTCTTTTTATGAGCTTGTTTTGAATTATTTTTATAAAAAAATTTAATATTTTTGTTAGGTTTTTTAATTTTATTATTTTAATTAGAGAATAAAAAATTTTTTTTTATTGTTATTTTTTTTTGTTTAATGAAAAAGTGGAGTTACATTGTTTTCACTAAGTAAAAAAAATATATAAATTTAACTAAAACAGCAAGTCGCTGCTTAAGCTCAAGCAGTCGTTCTTGCATGAATTGTAAAAATAAAAAAAAAAAATTGCACATTGTGAACAAAGTACGTGTATATCTATGTTAATCACAGTATTCTTTGGTATTTATTAATTTATTGTAACAGTTTCTTCACACATGAGTGTAATAGTTCTCCCAAAGTAAATGTCGCACAGAAATTTTCAGACAAACAACTTTCTCCTTCAAAGTTTGCATTTTTAAAATGAATTTAACAGACAAAAAATATAAAAATTTTATTTCTCTACATTCCAGAATTTAAATAATAATAAAATAAAAGAACAATACTATTGCATTTATTCATAAATTAAAACTAAATACCTCATGTAATGCCTGTAGAATCTAGAAAAGATGTTTGTCCGAATAAATTTCGTTATAATTTTTATAAAAAAAAAATATTTGCTCTAGAAAAAAAAATTGCACAAAGAATCTATTTAAAATCTATATTGATAAATATAAATTAAATATATTTATGAATAATGAATGAAAGTAGAGTAAGGCTTTATTGTTAGTTAAAAAAAAAAGGTTGAGTCAATGAAAATGTGTATGTGCAGAATATAAACACTAATTTATTTATTAAAAGAAAATGTTTTATTTATTTAACAATATAAAATCCTCAAAATCAAATATCAACAATATTAATTGTATTTTATCATTGATTCATTTTTTCTTATCAATGATTTTATATCTATACGCAAAATATTATTTTAAAACGATTTTATAAGGTGTACCTAAAAATGGAACTAATGATTTTTTTTTTATTTATGATATAAGATAATATAACGTGCTGCAAAATTTGGCAGTAATTTTATTATTCGTTATTAATATAATCGCTTACATTTATTTCTTTCTTTCAATAACAATGGGTCCAACGTTATCAGCATTATCCTTGTTGTGTTTTCCATGAGAACCATCACAATATGGCCACTAAATTAATTTAAAAAAAAAAAAATTATCTTAAATTAATTTTTTTTTTGCAATCGTGTGAATATATAATTTTTGTTTAGTATAATAATTTTATTTTAAAATGAACTTTCATTATATTTAATTTGACTCTTACTTTTTTAAATATATCATAAAAATAATTATCATTTATTTTTAAAGGCCAACATTGACTGGGGATTTTTATTTAAAACTAAATCACATTTTTATAACATCTTATACACATATCTAAAATTTTCTCTATAGTTTTTTGAAGTAGTTTATTCTCAAAGATCTGAACTTTCAAATGAATGAAAATAATTTTTTTTTTGTCAAGTTAAAATCGAAACAAAAAATGTCATTCATTTGAAAGTCGATAATATTTAAGGAATGTAGATTTATAATTTTTATAAATATATTTATATAAAAAAAAAAACGATTAATTTTAGATTACGAGTGTTTTGTTTGTAAAAGACCGTATGCTATCTCAGATCGAAAGTCCAATAGCGATTTGCATTTCATGCTACCTAGATCACAATGACGTCGATATAATAACCAAGAATTAACAAGACACGAATCAATTAAATTGAAAATAATTCTTAAATAATATCTTTTTGCTCTTATATCAATTCTATATAATTCTAACAGCATATTATGTAAATCAACTCCTCCCACACATTGATTATATTCAAACAAAAGATGTGGTACAGGAAATTCTCGATATTTTTTTCGTGTTGAAGACCAACTTGTAATTGATTCTAGAGGATGAATTGAAGAATAAGAAGACGCTATATAAACTGGTTTATACATTCCCCACCATTTTAGTGCAATAATATTTGTCGATTGTTCAGTTCGAAAATCATAAGCACCTCTCACTCTTTTTTTTAATTCGGAATAATTTCTAAAAACACAGCCTGGTAATTTTGATGGTCTAATTGTTCCCAATGCAAATAGCCCTCTTTCCTTAAGGGCTACAATTAAACTATGTGAATTAAATTTACTGTCTATTAATATTTTATAATTTTCACTAGATGACAAATTGTCACATAAACGAAGAACAATATCTCCATTTAAACCAAGTCCCGATGTACTTGGAAGTACATCTCTTCCTAAATAGAATTCAAAATCATAAAGAATACCACTTTTTCCAAATCGAGCAAACATTTTAAATCCCATACAGGGACAATTGTATCGGCATTTTTGACTTTTTTGATGTTTATAAGCTTTGCCGCGTATATATTGATTTAATGAACTATTATGACCCCTGAGAGGAATAATCACCTCGTCCACTGAATTGTATTCTTCGTTTTTCAATTTGGATAAATTTTTCTTCAATGCATCTATAAATGGTCGGATTTTATAAAGTCTATCATAATTCTCATGATCACGTGATTTTATTTTACTATTATCGTTAAAATGTATGTAGGTTCGAATTTCAAAAAATCGTTTTTGTGTCATAAAATCGGCAATTATTGAAAATCGTGTTGGATCCGACCAATAACATTTGATACTTGGAACTTTAACAATTCCACTGAGAATATGAATTCCAAAAAATTGTTCAATCTCCTTCTCTGTGACATTAATAGAAATACCGGATTTTTGAATTGAATAAAGATTTGTTTGTATTGTGAGATGATGTATTATTTCAGTTGTGAGAAATTGTTTAAAATAACGTAATGCAGGAATTTCTGGTATTGGTCTTGCAAATTTTATATTACAATTGCAATCAATAACTTTAATGTCGCGCGATTTCCAACGTAATGATTTTACACGAAGTCGATTTGATAATGGTGTGTCGTCTTCTGTGTCACTTTCACTTTCATCTCCCATTGTCTCAATTTTGAGACCGATTTTTGTTGTCGAATTTGATTGTGAATCTTCAATTGCATCTGTTAAAATTCCCTTTCGATGAATAAATATGTCATTTTCCTCATCTGACTCCTCGCATGAGAGATCTACGTCGGAAATATCTCCTTCCATCAGAAGAAGAATATTTTCATTTCGACGGCTTGTTCCTTTTCGAGTGATGTCTGAAAACTAAAAAAGGAACTGTGCAAGTGATCTCACTGCAAATTAAAGCGAGTGGCTCAATATATATTAACAGAATAACAATATGGACCAATTCCTTTATTGTTATTTTATTTCTATTTTTTTTGTCTTTTATACGTCGACTATTTTAAATTTTACTCTTTCCATCATTTTTATAAAAACTGTGGAATTATTTTTTACTTTCTTGTGCGCAATGTGATTAAATAAATTGAATTATTCTATTGGCGAGAGTGAGAAATATTTTTTTTTTATCTTACCAAGATTATTGGTGTTTTTCAGTTATGATAGAACACTTCGCAACAAGGCCTATATGTCTAAAAGATCTAGTTAGAATTTGCAAATCGCTAAATTTGGAAAATTTTGTATTTATTTCTTAACCCATGTCAATGAATGTGGCCTGAAAGGGATTAAAATAAATATTAAAAAAAAAACATTAAGTTGGTTCACCTGTCAGTCTTTGACAAAAAAATTTTGAAAATTTTTTTTTTAACAAAAACTTTAACAGGCGAATTAACTTAAACTAAATTAAAAATTGAAAAAAAACCAAGTTGAAAACTGAAAGAAACATATATACAAATTAAGCAACTAAATAAAAGTGACAATTAAGTTTGATAATTAAATAAAAATGTCAGATGAAATTCTCTAGTTAAATAAAAATGACAAATTGAATGAAAATTAATTAATAAATAAATAATTAAAATCAGATAAATAACAATAGAAAAAATTTAAGAGAGGAGAATTATTTTTTTTTAAATAGGTCATTTAAAAATAAAAAAGTGTTTTTAAAATAGAAATGTAAAAAGCGCAAATTTATTTTATTTTCTCTCTAATTAAAAATGAATAAGCAAACATTTTTCTCCTGATAATAATTTTTTGAAATTGTTATTATATTTTTACCATACTATATGAAAATTCGTGTCAAATCTATAAGCTTTACATAGTATATAAATTACTTACATTATCACTTCTCCAACATCGACAAAATGCTGCTTTCTCAGCTATATTTTCAATATCAACACAATCCACAACTTTATTTGAATCCTTTTGAATTTTTGGATTTATCATTCCGCATGTCTAAAAATGAATAATTTAATTTAAACTTAAAATTTTTAATTAAAGAATTTATTAAAAAAAAATGTTAACACAAGGAAATATAACTTTGGTTCATTCCAAAGTTCAGTTTCCATTGACAATTATTTTTGCTTATATTCAATGTTCTTTTTGTAAATTTATTAATTTGATTCAAAATATTTTGAAATTTTCGTTCGTCTCTTTAATTTCTAAAATTCCATTTATCAACTGAAATTGAAAACAAAATTGAAAAAATTGATTCTTTATCGGACAAATAAAAGTCACATGAGAAATATTGTTAGAAAAAAAAAAATCTCAACTTACTGGAGGCCTAGCTAGAGGACAAAATGCTTTATAAGACATATAGCCTATCCCGGCCAACATAGCAGTCGGTGGAATTAAACTCAGCCAATCCTTCACTAAAATCAAACATGTAGGTCATTCTTATTTTCTTTTAGAAAAAAATGGAATTTTTTAAAAAAAAAGAAAATATTGAATGTAGTAAAATTCTTTCTAGGTCAATTTTAATTCATTTTACAAATTAATATTTCATAACGAATAATGATGACAATGCAAATTATTAATTATTAAATTCATTACCTCCAAGTCTAAACCATCCTCCTATTGAATTTGGAATTGGTAATCCCGCTAAATAATCTGGAACTGATACTTTAACTAAATGTGAGAAAGACTCCATGTTGATTACGGTAATGAAAAATGTAGAACCAAAAAGAGTATAAATATGGAATATAGGTTTATTACAATGATTTAGTCACCTATCACGTTTCTGTATACTGTAAAAAAAAATATGGGAAAAAAAGTAATAAATCTGCGCAGTATCAATGAGCAGTCCTATCGTTGATCCAATGAAATTTCTCGTTTGTAATTTAAATTCCCGTCGAGAAACTCGTCTATTAAATTCTATTCAAACCGCGAAGTTTTAAATTTTAAATCCCTTTAAATACAATTACAAATATTATTATTTTTTTTAAATTGACACTGAAAATTGTTTTAACCATAAAAAAATCATAATCTTTTCTTAAAATTTTCATTGATAAAAATTATTTATTCATTAACATTAAAATAAAATTATTTTGCAATTGTTTTTTAATTAAATTTTTTTAACAATTATTTATTGATACCAAATTTGATTTAAAAATCTACTATCGGTATTTTTTTTAAGAAAAATATTTCACTGCGCTTTATAAAAGAATTTATTCATGCATTTACATTAATGAACATTTTTCTGTCGTACAATTTTTATTTACACAATTAAATAAACATGTGTTCAATCGCCAGATTGTTTATATTTTATATAATATTACATTGTCTTTGTTTTTTTTTTCATTCTCCAGACATTCCATAAGATATTTTGTTTATTTTAAAAACGATTTTTACTATATAAAAATCATTAAAAAATCAAAACATTCTCAAACTAGAAAAACGAACTCATTTTTTAAACAGTAATAATAATAATCATTATTATTATTAAAAATTAATGATTCTAATTTTATTAATAGTCTATCGTTTCACTGAAATATAAATAGGCCAATTTTATTAATTAATTAAACAGTCGTGTTTCAATAAAAGAAACATTTTTTTAAACTTATAATCCCCTTTACATATCACCTTAACGTTTCAACAGAACACAATTTTTAAAAATTCAAATTATAATAAATTAATTGCAGTAAAACGTAGGTAAATGTGTCAAAATCTATTAAGTTATTTACACTTAATTATTAGTATACATAGTAAATTTTATTTAACGCAAAAAAAGTGAACTTATTAAAAATATCAAAATCAATCACAAGAAAAAAAAAATATATCGAAAGTTTATTTTATTTTTTTTTTTGATTAGTAATCATTGTTCTTTTTACAGAACCAATGTATAAAGCAACAAATAACACATCTTACAATGTTTTTTTTTTTTTTTTAAATTAAATAGACGCAATATTTAATTATTATAAATAAACTTCACTGCTATAGAAATCTCATTGCAGTCAATATACAAAATGTGAAGTCAAATTCACACAATAATTGCATAAAAAATTTAATACAATTTATATGAAAAAAAGACATTGAATTAATGCTAATAAATTTAGTATTTTTATTTTAATAATATTTAATGTATTAAATTTAAGTTTTATTAAAAAAAAAAAAAACATGAAAATGTCTCCACATAATGTTTATTTAGGATTTTTCGAACAATATTAATTTAAATCAGTTCTATATGATAAATAATATCTTCACTCGAATGTTTGTGAGGATATCTAACTTATTAATTTGTTGCATACATTTAAAATACGCTTACGTACGTTTAATTTTCTTATACTATTGCTAAGTTGGAATTTTTAATTTACATTACCATCGCATAGCAAGAATGGTCTATTTACAGAAGGATTGATTTCTTTTCCATAGTTTTACTTTCTTCCGTGTTTAACACGAGTTTCTAGTGCAATTTTTTTTTTCTATAATTAATCGTTACGATTAAAAAGAAGGCTGGAATTGTTTGTGTATTGTGTATATGTGTGTATGCTTCTTTTTATTCTATAAGGTGCTGACTTAATCTTTTTTATTTTTATTTTTTTTTTTACAAAGAACGCGTTATCTTAGCAACATTGCTAACATAATAATAAAAGTATATGTTATAAACTAATAACTATCTATAACCGGTGTCAATTGAATATCATTAGAATTGGATATTTTCTGTTTTGTTAAACATATTAAAGCATTAACTATTAATAATTTTTTATGAACACTGAGCTTTCAATAATTTTTTAATAGAAGATAATTTTTTTTTCTTTTTAAATGACAATCGAAGGGGAGATGATGTATTATTAAAAATCTGCGCAGTATTTTCTTATCTTTCTTTTTAAATATTATAAACGTTAATAATTTATTTTTGTTTAATTTCTAACAAATATATTCTGTTCAAATCGATGTAATTTCATTATAAAATTAGATACTTTTGCTTATAGAAAAAGTAAGAATGGACAAAAAGCATTCCCATATTTGCAGAAGCTTTTCTTTTTTATGCAAAGTATTTCAAAATTTTTTTCTCAATTTTACATTTTTTTTTTTTTTTTTTTTTTTTTAAAGAATTTCACCGTTTCACAAATTATTTGAAAAGTATTTATAATTTTATTATTATATGTATTATGCAAAATATTTTTAAAATTTGAAAAACAAAACTTTCAAAAATAATTTTTTTTTAAATTATGCCAAAAAATAAATTAATTTCTAAAATTTTCTTCGTATAAAAAGAAGTTTTATGAAAAAAATTGCAATTTAAAATATTTTATATTAATTGTAGAAATGTTTTTGGTCAGAATTAGCAGATAATACAAATTTTTACTAATTAGTTTAAACAAATAAACAATTGACATAACTGATATCTTTTTTTTTTGTGAAAAATGTTCCTTTTTTAAAATATTGAACTTCATTTATAAAATTAATTAACTTAAGAGTAGAAACGTATTTGTAATCTTTCAAATAATCTGAATGCCTGTTTGTTTATAACATATTAAATTCACATTCTTTTAAAAATCAAATTTTCAGTCGTGATTTCAAGAATAAATTGTTTTATAAAATGTGGTATTTAATGAAATTAGTGAAAACAATTAAAGCTGATTAAATAAATTTTCTTAAAGTAGCTTGAGTCAGTTGGTCACATTTACCATAATAAATATTTCTCAATTTTCATTAAGGTGATTCATTTTGTCTTAGTTTCTCTCTCTCTTTCTCTCTAAAGTTAATGTTGGAAATTATAAAATAAAAAAAAATCTCATTATATACGAGTTTCTCAAAATCGATAAAAACAAATTCCACCCAGTATTAATTCTTTCTTTTTTTTAAAAAAAAGAATTTTTATTATTATTTAGAATTTAATATAGTTATTAAATTAATTATTATGCCAAATTATATATTTCGGTAAAAACATTACGATAATTATTAAATATATTTTTATATATTACTATTAAATCATTTAATAAAAATGTTTAACTAATTTATTTTTGTCTATCTAATAATTAAATTTTTCTAAATTTAATACAAATAAAAAAAAAAGAATAATAACACAAATAACAAGAAATAATATAGAAATTAATAAAAATTTCACCTGTCGAGCAGAATCGTCATTAAAAAAAAAAAATATATTTGATTTTGAGAATCTTGAAAAATTTCCAAAATTAACTTTTTTTTATCGTATCTGTATGAATATTGAGACAGAGAATTACCTTAATTGTGAAAATTATGAAAATGTGAATAAAATTATCATGGCTGGTATGAAAGATTTTTCACACACTATATGTATATTACAAGGTACAAGTTTAGAATGACAATATCACAAATATACATTGTTTAAAGCTTTGCAGTTGTCATTATTTAAAATGAGCGTGTATTGATAATAAATTATCATAATTTTAATATCCGCAAAGCTTTTTTTTTTAAGAAAAAAAAAAAGAAAAAAAAAAACCTCTTTCAATTGATAAATTGTACGTCATGAAAATTACCTTGATGAAATAGAATAACCATCCAGCCATTTCTCAGAGATCGCACTGACGTATTTTCTTTTGTTTTTTAAGTAAAAATTTGGTTTTATTTTTAAGATTTTTCTCATGCCATTGAGATAGTAACGTTAATTCCCAAATTACCATTGTCGGCGAAAAGCTGAGCAATAGACGTATCAAAAACAAGGCAGTCAGAATTAAGAATCGCAGACGATACACCTTCGTGTATGGATCGTGGCATTGCCTCCCATGTTAAACGTCGTCGATGACCATTTAATTCCAATCTATAATTAATTTTTTTCATTTTAAATTTAGTTATTTACAATTTTTAGATTTAAAAAATATGAAAATAATTTTTAAAATAACAATTACCTATATGCAAAATTTTCTGCTTGTTTTCTAGAACCAATTAGCTGAACAATAGCGAAAAATTGTTGATGACCATCATACTTCTCTTGTTTTTCGAGAACAAGCATAAAATGATGACCAAAACAAGATTGCATCATAACCCAATCAACGGCTCCCGGTAAGTTAATATCAGTTGCTAAAAATACGATATCTTCTCCTAGAAATTAAGAAAAAAAATTTAATACCCTGTGATTATTAGTGATAGTACAAAAAAAGTGCACATTTATCAAATTAACGAATTTCGTGAAGTAAATAAAGAGGATTTTTTTTTAAAAAATATACCTTGGAGGGTAGTGATACTTTTGTGACTTAGCACAAGGTGATTCATTACTTGTTCCAAAGAACCCTGCCACTTGCAGGAAGCGCCAGGACAAGGGCAGCTATATGGACGGTATTCACAAGCATCCTCATGATCTGGTTTTTCAGTATGCACTAATGAAACAGTGCAACCACTTGTCGAATATTTGCAAGGGAACATAACGTTGCTTGCTACTTTTTCCATTGCAAGATTACGAATATTACCTTAAAATAAAGTTTTATTAATTTTTGTCTATTGATATTAATACAGATTAATTAAATAAATAATAGCTTAATTAAATATATGTATGTGTAGTGCATAACAAACATTTTACTACACAATAATTAAAATAATCTTCCACATGGATAATTTCTCTTTTAAATAAGAAAATTGATAATTTTTTATTGTATATAGAAATTATATTACCTAAAGGTCCACGACAGGTAGGACAACACGTTAATTTAGGTCTGCAAATACTGCAAACAAGATGTCCACTTTGGCACTGTAATATCGGTGGTAGTACGTAATCAAAACAAACTGGACATTCAAAGAGACTCGCTAAGTCAGTAGAATTACTTAAAGCTGTCACAGCTGAAGCTGAGGTGCTTGCAACACCTCTTCCTCGCTTTCCTGTATTTAAGGTTAACTGGGACATGTTTTTCTGTAAATTGTGGTCCAAAGCAATGTACTTTGGTCGCACAAAACAGTATATAACGAAATCTTCCAGCGATGAAATTTATTATCTCTCAAACTAACATTCCTGTATAATTTCCTTAAATTATATCTGAAACATGTATGTACATTAAAAAATAATTTTCATCTTTCTATTAATTTTCTAAATTAACATAACTAATTTAAAGTATAGAAAATGAAATTTTAATTACATGACAATTAACAAGACTTGACAAAAAAAAAAAAAAATTCTATTATGAGTGGATAATGGAAAGTATAGTGACGTAAAAATGACTAATATTATGGTATATACAACAAATAAATAATGGCAAGATCATGACACCTCTGACATGTTTTCTCTATGCCTTCCATTATGGAAAATTCCATCCCTACTCATCTTTTATTCACTTGTTACTAATTGACTAGTTTTAGGGGGTGTGGATTAAATGAAAATTTAAGAAAAAAAGAATTTCTTCTCAATTACTTACCTAAAATAAAAATAAGGCAAAAGTGAAAAATCGTTGCAACTTGCACCTGAGGATTTGAGTGTTACGTGATCGAGAAAAAGAAAACTTAAAGTAGAAGGCTGAAGGCACTTGAGCAAAGCGACAATTATAAATTCGTTGACACCGTGATCCTCATTAAATAGAATTTCATATAAACGTATACGATGATTTATAGAGAATCATTGATGATAATCGGATTAGACCATTATTAATTGTCATAAAGCAAAGCTACATCCCGATAAATCGTAGCCGTGGTGGCAACACCAACCGCAGAATAATTGGCAAAGTTCTTGTTTGAATCATAACCTCTCGATCGTCTCACGTACACTCCAAATTATACACAAAAACTTGAAATTAAATAACACAATGTTACTGCGAATATTAAACATTGATTAGATTAAACACACACTGCATATTCAATTGATCAAACCCATGAAGCCGCCATTGTCTTTTTTTAAGGTGCATTCACAATGTTCAATTATTGCATTTCACCATCATGCAACGTTCACAGTTGTTTTTATTTCCTTATATTTTTGTTTACAAAACAAAATATTACAAAATTCTTTTTTCTTGATGATGATATTATTTTTGTAAATAATTTAAAACGCTTTTTTTAAAAAGAATTTTTAACATTTCTTTGATATTTTGGATGATGTTTAATCTAACGTAAATTAGCGTAAAATGCGTATAATACGTCAGAAACATGTGCGCATAAAAAATGTCATTTAGGTTGTGACTTCTTTTTTTTTTTAATTTATTATTTACATATGTTGATTATGTCATACAAAATTTTCTGAGAACAGATGTTTTTTTTAATAACAAAGAAAAAGAAGAGTATTATTATCTTTTGTATGCATATTCTTAGAATATGTTACACGATATATGAGTATAAAGATCATATGTATTTTCAATTTTTGTTTAGAAAATTTTCTTAACGCAGTGGTAAATTAGAAATTATAATAATTTATGTCAAAAATTAAAATTGGAGGGGATATAGTGTATTTAGGAACGAATTTTACAAGACTCCGTGGCGCAACGGTAGCGCGTCTGACTCCAGATCAGAAGGTTGCGTGTTCAAATCACGTCGGGGTCATGTTTCTTTTTTATTAATTGAAATTCCCCTGCTGACTTTGCATTTATTAATTATTTTTTTTTCGATATTAAATACTCTTGAATTGTCATTAATTAAGTGAAATGAAATTCCACAGTGTGTGTGAGATGAAGCAATATTTTTTTTATATTCGTGTATTATAAATCATAAAATGTTATTTATGAAAAATTGATTATTTCTAATTGTTTGTTAATTTTTATTGTTATTTAAAATAATTACAAAACATATTTTTCTTTTACAAAAATAGGCCTATGTTTAAGTACAGTTGTAGGAAAAACTTTAACTAAATAGGCGCCGTGGCTTAGTTGGTTAAAGCGCCTGTCTAGTAAACAGGAGATCGGGGGTTCGAATCCCCCCGGGGCCTTTGGTGGATTTTTTTATTAATTTTTTTAATACTCAATATAACAATTTTCATAAATTGTTATAGTTATAGTCGTTCATAAATCGTTGATCTTTAATTATTTCATATTTGTAAATTTTTTTACATTATCCAAGACATCATTACGAGATAAATGATTGGTTATTGTATTGGAAGTCACAGCTGTCTTAAAAAAGCTCAATCTCTTGATTCCTACTAAATCAGAGGACGACCAAGAAATTATAAGATTATTGTCATCCTCATCATTTTCAGAGGAATTTCCATTATTTTTTATTTCATCTGAATATTTTTTTAATGATTCTTGAAATTCATCAACTTCTTGTTTAATACTTTTCGTTATTCCATTTTCATTTTCAACTTCCAAAGTGTTGAGTTTTTTATTTTTAAGAGAAAAATCAGAAAATGGATTGTCAATTTTGATAAAGTTGGATTTAGTTGTTTCTTCGTTATTTGATTTTGAAATAATAATATCTTCCATTTTTGAAGTACCTGAAAAGGAATCATTTTTTTTTCACATTGAGAAATAACTTCTTATTTTAAAAAAATAATTATTCAAATTTCACCTGGTTGAGGTTCTAATATATTATCAACATTTTTTGATATTTCTTTTTTCTTTTGGATTTTATATTTTTTATTATTATGAAAATCAGTTGATTGATAAGGTTCATAAAATTCAGAAATTATTTCACGTTCAATCTGAGGAAAATTTCTTTTTTAAAATAAACAACAAAATTAGGTTTAAAAATAATCTACATATTTTAAAATTGTAGCAACTTAAAATAAGACTCCTTTTGTGAAAATAAAATTTTCTTTTTACTCTCAGTCGAATATTATTGAATTAAAATAATATTTGTAAAAATTGTTTATGATTTTATAACTTGCAAGTGTTTCGTTGCTAAAATCAACTTTGATTTCATCATCTTCTGTTTCTTTTATTTTTAAATTTTCCAATATTTTTGCTTCATGTTGAGCAATGATATCTTCAAACTCCTTTTCTGGATTAAATGGAGTGTCTATAAATGTAATAACTAGAATTAACATCACATAAATATTAAAAACCAAATTAAGTTATTTTAACTTCGCCTGCATAATATATATAATTTACCATCATTTGAATTATTTCCAGAATTTATTTCTTTTAATTTATTATTATTATTAGAATCTGTATTAATGTTAATTGTTTCCTTCTTTTCCTTTTTAAATAAACTCATTTTTTTTCCTGATATAATTTTAACGAGAAAATGTGTTTATTATTTTCATTCAAACTTTATACTTATTTTTAAAGCAAAAAAATATTTTACCTTTCTTTCTTAATTTTTGGTCTTCTTTGAGGTTAAATTTAATTAAGGTGGTTTTTTTTATTTGATTGGTGTGATTTGAGTTAATGGAAATGTCACTTTTATTTGCTTTTAATGACATTTTTTTGTTGTTTCTTTTTGTTACATGGTAAATTGTTTACTTTTTTAATTTTGCAATGAAAGACATTTTTTTCTTATAAAAGAAAGTACAATTATTTCAGTAACATTTTATTTTAAGGTTTTATTGACACCTTGATGAAAATATTTATTAAAAATAAAAAATTGACTGTCAATTTAAAACATAATTTATTTAGATGTTTGAAATGATTTTAGTATTCTTTAAATATTTTAAGTAAATTGAAAAAAATTGTTTTAATTAGTCGAAGGATGTTTTGGCTATTAATATAAAAATAATTATTACATTAAAAATCAAAAAATACGACGAGGATGGGATTCGAACCCACGCGTGCAGAGCACATTGGATTAGCAGTCCAACGCCTTAACCACTCGGCCACCTCGTCAACTTGTGTAACACATTTGAAGTAACACGTTATAAGTGAAGGTCAATCAAATTTGCATATTAAAAAAAAATTACAACTTTTGAAATTAAATTTAATTTAAAAACATTAATGTCTCAATCAACGTGATGACATTTTTGAGAAATTCCACTCATTTAGTTCAGTATAATATAATCCGTATGGCATGTGGAAAACACCTTTAAAAACAGCTCCAGGTTTGTAGCTATTGTATTATGTGCCCTTCACTTTTCATTTTACGATTAGGGAAAATAAAGAATAAAATAAGTTTACTTATTATTGATTTAAATAATTTTTAAAATCTCTACTCACAATAATATTGATTTATAATATAATTTTGAGGATAATGATATTTCAAAAAAACAATTTTAATATTTGTTGGAAAATTTTAGTGACACCCTTAGTTCCACGTGTGTTAAAATCCATCTGTCAAGTGTCAGAAAAAACATTAATATTTATTATATATATATTATAAATTATTAGTAATATTTCACAATGCCAGATAAAATAATTAAATATTATTTACACGCAATTAATAAACATGAAATCTTTTGGTTATTAATTCCATTATATGAAATATATTACACATAACCTCCAAATTAAAACTCACATATTTTCATGAAAATAAAAATATATAAATTAAAATAATATAAATGTTCAACATTCGATTAATTATTATTTTCGAATTAAAACATTCAAACCTTTACACTTTGTTAAATAAATTAAAGTCTAAGTAATTCTCACAATATGATTTTGTTTTGAGAAAATATCTATATACTTTACAAGAGTGAAATGAAAGTGAAACTATGGTATTATTGAAAGTAAGTGTGAAAATTTTTTATATGCATGCATATAAAAAAATCAAGGTCAAATTAATAAAAAAAACATTTCCTTGAAAATAGAATATATATTTATTATTGTAAGAATTTTTTTTTATATATTAACCGTATTAACATTGTAATCTGCTTGTTAAGCTCTTAGCAGTGTCAAATGTCTCAAATAGAGAGTTACTCAACTAATAATAAGTTGAGATTAGATATCCCAGTAAATGTGATCCAGCATGGATGTAAAGGAACTCTTGTCGTTTTCTCAAGTTTACAGTAAAGAAACTATCAATTTTCTTAAAACAGAATTTCCTCGTTTAGAAGGTAAAATTAATTTCCTATGATATATATTACTTATAAAATCAAGAATATTTTTTTAATTAAAAAAAAAGACTATTATGATATACGTAAATAGATGACATTGCAAGTTTTTTTTTTAATTAAGAATTTAAAGTAGCTCATCAATAAATAATAATAAAATAAAAGGCATTAAAAAACGTAATGAAACGTTAAATATTATAATTTTTTTTTCTCTTTTAGATGAATGTTATTTGGATCATGCAGGAACCACACTTTATTCAAATACACAAATTAAAAATATAACAGAAAATTTACTATCGTCGAATTATGCTAATCCACATTCCATTGGAATTATAAGTAATTTTACTCATGATTTGATAGAACAAATTCGATTCAGGTATTAACTATATTTTTATTATTCTACTATATTGTTTAATTATGTATTTTTTTACATTTCGTTATATTATTTAAACATAATTTTTAAAATGCAATTTATTTTATTTTGATATTTTAATTTTATTATTTTTTGTTAATTTTATTATTCATTCTATAGAATTTTAGAACATTTTCATGTTTCATCAGAAGAGTACAGTGTAATTTTTACCTCAGGAGCAACAGCGGCTTTAAAAATAGTTGCAGAAACTTTTCAATTTAAAAACACAAAATCCAACGAAGGAAAAGAGTCTAAAAATGGACATTTCGTTTATCTTCAAGATAATCATACTTCCGTGCTTGGAATGAGGGATTTATTATCTAAAAATGGTGCACACGTGGTTTGTCTCCCACATAATTTAGCTTTTGAAACTTTTGGAGGATCAACAATAATTGAAAATGAAATTTCAAATTCAGAGAGTAATTCCTTATTTGTTTATTCAGCGCAATGTAATTTTTCTGGTTTAAAATATCCTCTTGATTGGATTGCAAAAGCACAATGTGCATTAAATAATTTTATTGGCAATAATAGAAATAAATGGTTTACACTTTTGGACGCTTCCGCTTTTGTCGGTACAAATAATTTGGATCTCTCTCTCTATAAAGCTGATTTTGTTTGTCTATCGTTTTATAAAATGTTTGGATATCCCACTGGACTTGGTGCGTTAATTGTTAAAAATTCCAGTTCCAATGTTTTAAAGAAAATTTATTACGGTGGTGGAACTGTTAATGTTGCTTTGAGTTCATCATTTTTTCATGTAAAGCGAGAAAATTTACACGAAAGGTGACGAAATATTTCAATTTTTCAATTGTAATTTGTGTTTGTTAATTTTTTTTTGATCTTAATTAATTTTTGTAAATTTTAGATTTGAGGATGGAACACTACCGTTTCTTTCAATTATTGCACTTGACAGTGGTTTTAAAGCGATTTCTCATATTTCTCTAAACGATATAACGAAACATGTTTTTTCACTCGCGAGATATTTACATCATTCTCTTTTAACTTTACATCACAATAATGGAAATCCAGTGACAAAATTATACAGTGATACTGATTACGAAGATTGTAAATTGCAAGGAGGAATTGTCACTTTTAATATTCTACGTTCAAATGGAGAATACGTTGGTTACATGGAAGTTCTTAACATGGCAGCTTTGTATAAAATTCAGTTAAGAACAGGATGTTTCTGTAATCCTGGTGCATGTCAACGTCATTTAAATCTTTCAAATCTAATGATTATCGAAAATTACGATGCAGGCTATGTTTGTGGTGGATCTAAGGATTTGATTAATGGAAAGCCAACGGGATGTGTGAGAATTTCATTTGGATATATGTCTTCTATAGAGGATGTTGAAAAATTATTGACAATGATTAGAAAATGTTTTCTTAATAAATCTGAAATTGTGAAAATTCCCAATTGGTGGAAAGAGGAGAGAGAAAAATTTTTTAACAAGTACAATAATAAGACTGAGAATTTTATTTTTCATAATAAAATTCAAATAAATGATAATAATATTGAAAATTTTGATAATGATATTGAAAAAAATGAGAATGAATTTCCTTCTTTAAGGAAAATAGAATTATCAGATGGTGTCAAGAAAATTCCAAAACGAATAAATTATGCAAATAATTTACAATTGAAGCGTTTATTTATATATCCAATAAAATCGTGCGCTGCATTTGAAATAAATAATTCATGGATTCTTAATTCAAGAGGATTGCAATACGATAGAGAATGGATGATTGTCACTACAACTGGAGTTTGTTTAACACAAAAACAAGAAGTGAATCTTTGTTTAATTAATCCACATTTAGATATTGATAGAAATGAAATGGAATTATCATTTCCTGGTAATATTTCGATATTATTTAATGTATCGTTTTTTTTTAATAAAACTTTTTTAAGTTTCGAAGTTTTTTTTTTAAATTGAAATAATTTAAATTGCAGGAATGCCGTCTATTCGAATTTCAGTGGAAGATCAATTAGAAGAGAATGTTAATGGCACTATGTGTAGAGGTAAAGTTTGTGGTCACAAGGTAGAAGGTGTTGATTGTGGTAGTGATGTTTCTGAATGGCTTAGTTTGTCACTTGGCCGACCAAATTTAAGACTGATTAGACAGACAAAAAGAATTATTAATAAAGGTAAATTACTCTATTTTTTAAAATTATTAAATTAATAGAAATTTATGCGTAATATATATATATATTTTTTTTTAAGGACCAGATGAGAAAAATTTATCGTTTGTAAGTAAAGCACAATATCTATTAATTAATGAAGCGAGTATATTTTGGTTATACGATAAACTTCGAGATGATTCAGAATGTCATAAAGAAACAATGTTACATCGATTTAGAGGAAACATTGTTGTGAGTGGATGTAGTGCATTTGAAGAAATTAATTGGAAAAATGTTAAAATTGGAAATTGTGATTTCAAGGTATCGTGATATTTAATTTAAATTGAAAATTTATTATCAAAAATTATTCATACTCGGGTGTTGAAAATTTAAATATAATTTTCATACAGGTGGAAGGTCAGTGTAATCGTTGTCAAATGGTGTGTATTGATCAAACTACAGGTGAAAAAACAGTGGAACCTTTACGAACTTTAGCAGAAGAATTTAATGGAAAATTGAAATTTGGAATATATCTTACTAGAAAAAATAGCGATGATTCTATTTTAAAAATAGGTGACAAATTGATTTATGATTAAATGAATTTTTATATATAGAAAACACTTTTCGATTTTTAATAAAGTTATATTGTTTTCTGAAAACGAATAGTTTTAGCAATTTCTTATTTTGGTTTAAATTTTAAAATTTGTTTTTTTTTAAATTTATGTCCAATTTTATTGACATGCAATGATATTGCATAACAATTATTTTATCATAAAAATTATATATATATATACAGAAAGTAAATAATATTACTATATATTATGAGAATAATTGATAAAAATTTTTACTGTATTGAACATTCAATTGGTTGTTGTTTATCCACTTTTCTAACAGGATAACCTTCATATACTTCTCTAACAATTTCACCCACATTATTATGATCTGGGAAGGCCAAAGTTTGAAGTTTAGAATGCACTAATTGTTCATTAATCGATACTTCAAATGCACCTGAAAAAAATATACATAATTATAATTACAAATATCGAATTACATAATTAAATTATTTATAAGAATCTATTTGCTATATGAATGAATATGTAATTATTTTAAAAGTCAACTTTAAAAACATGTTTCTTTAAAATAATATAAATTCAATTGCATATTACCCTCTTTTGCATCTTTACCAGTGACAATTGCATCTGGCACAAAAGATTTAATTGCTTTAGTCATTTCTAAAAATTCTTTTTCATATCCGCACACAACACTAAAACAAATTGTTAAATATTTTATTGAAAACACGTGAATTTACATCATTTCCAATATATAGGTTAGGTGCAAAAAAAATTATTATTTACGATTAATTTACCAATATTCCACATTAACATTAACATCCATTTTGTAAAATTTATTCTAATTATTCTATTCAATTGATATTATTTTAATTTTAAAGAATAAAATTATGTAAAATAGTTAAAAATATGAAGACATTTGATGAATAATGTGAAAATGATTTAAAATGTTTACAACTACAATTGCTACCAATATACAAAAAGTGCCCTTATAATAATGTTGGTAGCACTTTTGATGAATTTCAAATATTCCCGCTAAATTTACAATTGAATTTTTAATTAACCAATCATTTGCGTTTCTGATAACATTTAGCGCTGTGTAAAACTTTTACTTTCGTTATAATAATATCACTTGAGTGGACAAATATTTCTAATTGCTGTTTTTTTAAACGTGTAAATTAAGAAAAAAATTCTTTCAATCATCAATATAAGAAAAAATAATGTAAATTACATGAATTAAATAATTTTAATAATATTATTTTAATACACATATAAAAAAATTTTTAAAAGTGTTTCTCATATTAATTGAAGCGTAAATGAAAACTGTGAACGTAACCAACAGGTGTTTAAGTACTATATAGAAGTAAAATTTTAATTATTTTTCTTAATAATAATAATAATTGTTTTCTTAGTTATCCCAAATGGAAATGTGTTTTTAATGTTTTTAATGTTTTAAATATTTCTAATAATAAAAATAATAGAAATAATAATATATTATTATTATTATTATTATTATTCTTTGTATTGTTGTATAATCTGTGCATTGTATCGAGCACGTATTTTATTATTTGACTCACGTATATTTTTATCACTACTGTGCTCATTTTTTTTTTTTTTTTTTTTTTTTTTTTGCTAGTTTCATGTATTGTGAAAACATGGATTACGATTATTTATTGAAGTTTCTGGCTCTTGGAGACTCAGGAGTTGGTAAAACGAGTTTTCTTTATCAATATACAGATGGAGTATTTCATTCACGATTTGTTTCAACAGTGGGAATTGATTTTAGAGAAAAACGAATGGTAATTATTTATTTGTTAATTTCATTTTCCTTTGAAATTCATATATGAATTATTTATTTATTTTTATGAATCAAAATTGGAATTTTTTATTTGTATTAATATTTATTTATATTTTTATTTAAACGCATATATATTTATGTTATAATAATAAATATAAATTTTTTTAAATTTTAAAATAAATCTACAAAGAATTATTTGGAGAAAATTTTCTTTATAATTTTAATAATAATAATAATAATTTTAATTTTTCTTTGATATTACAAAATTTGTAGTTATAAAATATTTTTCTCTTTTAAAGACATACTCGTCAACAAATGGAATTAAGCATCGTGTACATTTGCAATTTTGGGACACAGCTGGCCAAGAACGGTATAATATTTGCATATAATTATAATATTACAAGTCTATTAATTAATATTAATAAAAATAACATTATATAGAAGTATTTATAAATATGAGATACAATAATATTGTAATTAGATTATAAATAAATATAAGAATATAGTTTTTTTCAATAATATAAAAAATTATTTATTATTATTATTATTATTATTATTATTATTATTACAAAAATTATTTGGTTCAAATATATATATATATTTATTTGATTCAAGTGAATATTTGATAAATAGTCAAATAATGCAAATCACTTGAATTGATAAATAATAGATGAATTTTAATATTATTATTATTATCATCATCACGTTAATACACGCTGTTTTATAATTATACAGAAAGTGGAGAATAAATCTCATTTTTTCTTGTTAGTACCACTTCAGAATGTTAATCATTTTTTAAATGGTTTTTACTTTTATGATTTATTCATCCAAATTATAAAAGACCCAGAGCTAAAATCATTTTTTCTCTTTACTCTTTTCTGTAATTAAAAAGAAAACAATGTAAAAATTTTATTTTTCTATTATTGTGGGAAAATTAAAATTATCCTTCTTTTTGTATATATTATTTAATAGACAAATTAATATTTTATAATTATAATAATAATAATACATAATAATAATAATTATTATTATTAATTATTTTAAAAATTGTAAATAAATTATAAAAATAGAATAAAAAATTTTTTTTTTGTTTTAATTATTATATTTAACAGGTTTCGAAGTTTAACAACAGCATTTTACCGAGATTCAATGGGGTTCTTCCTCTTATTTGATCTGACGAATGAGCAGTCATTTTTAGACGTACGAAATTGGTTGGATCAACTAAGGGTACAATTTGTAACTTAATTTATTATACGTATTAAAGGATTTTTTTCCTTTCTATAAAAATCTTCTTTTTTTTTTTTTATTAGCAATATATAAGGAAGTTGAAAGTTAAAATATAAATATGTACTGCAAAAGAAATTTTGTCAATAAGTTTAATAACATGAATTAAATATAATTTTTTTTTTCCATCTTCATTTTTCATTTTTATGTACCTACTCTTCATCAATATTTGTATGATGTATCATGTTTTCAGAAAATTGACAGAATGATAGAATACCAGCTTATTATATATAAATCGAACTTTCGCAGATGATAAATTTTAACAAATTTGATTTTCCCACCTCGTTACTTGTATAAATAATTTCAAAATATATTTTTTTTCAGCCTGTATAATGATGTTGATAATAAATTAAAATTGATTTATTATTGTAATTGATAAAAATAAATTAAGATAAATTTTATTTTTTATATTATATATTGTTATAATAAAAATATTTTTGATATATAATTTAAATTGTATTTAAATTGTAAAATACAATTTTGAAATTTGAATTGTAGTACTTTTGAGATTAAAAAATATTCATATTCATAAATTTTTGATTCACTATGTAAATTATGTGACTTATTTTTTATTTTTACAGAATCATGCATACTGTGAAAATCCAGACGTAATACTTTGTGGGAATAAATCTGATTTGGAGGACAGGCGAGTTATCAGTGAATACAAAGCACGAGAATTGGCATCGAAATATGGGTATGTCTCTGTTATTATCACCTTTAATTAACTGTTAACAGGCTAATTATGATTTACATCAATATCTTAATATGAAATTCAAAATTTGTTTTCTCGGGAAAAATTGAATATTAAAAATTTAATTAATCGTCATTTATTATTATTTTATAAAATTATTATTATTATACTTTATAAATAAGTAAATAATAAATTAATTAATAATTAATAAATAATTAATAAATAATAAATAAATTTATAATAATAAGTAATTATTAATAATAAATAAATAATAATTAACTATAATATAGTTAATATTATATTATATTATTAGTTATATTATAATTTTTTTTCTATATGAAAATTTGTGTATAGAAATATGCCATAAATTTTTTTTATATAAATAATATATAAAAATTTTTATGACTTTTAGATTAGTTTATATTGAAACTAGTGCAGCAACTGGACAAAATATTGCAAGGGCAGTTGATATTCTATTAGATCGAGTTATGAGAAGAATTGAAGCTACTATTGATCATTCTATTTTTCCTCATCAAAGACTCTTAAGATGCCATGAGAACGATAATTCGCCGTTATCTAAAAAGAAAAAATGTTTTTGCTAATCATTCCCAGGGTGATACCAAAAAAAAAAGAAGAAAAAAAATTCTTTAATTTACATGAACCTGAAGTCCGCAACGTTTTTAAAAACGAAAAATTAAAATAGAATGATTTTTTCAAGTCATTTTATTATTAATTTTGAGTTGCACAAACTTTTAATAAATTAATCTTTTTATAGAAGCCGAATAACTTTAATTTTATGCCAAAGTAATACATATTATCTAATTATTTTTTCGTTTTCGTTTATAAAAACGTTGTGGACTTCAATTTCATTAATTTACATATACTATTAAATATGTTAAGGTTTAAAATTTTAATGAACAATTTCACTTGAATCCTCTTTTTTTATTTAAATATCCTAAAATATTTAAATACATCTCTTTCAACACATTTCAATTTATAATATTGTAAATAATTCATTTATTTTTTGTTTAAATGTTCATGGGATTTTGCCATTATTTTAATATCTCCCTTTACGTTAATAATATATAGAATTTATCGATTGACGATGTGTAACTAAGATATGAAATTTGCAAGTGAAAATAGGGGAGAAAATTCTGATATTCATAAGAGAGAGAGAGAGAGAAGGAAATTGAGTATCAAAATTATCTTTCGACTTAAATTGTGTTCAATTGCATATTTAATATAATATATAAATATATATTTATAATTATTCTTACATGAATAAATTCTATGGAATATAATTTTATTTCTATTTTCTAGAAATATAATAATTTATAATTATAATATAAAATACATAATATAATAATAATAATAATTAATCGCTCCTGAATAAATATATATATATAAATTAATAAATCCAACATTTCTTAATTGAATTCATTTTTTAATAAAAAAAAATCATTCATATCATTCTCAATCAATTATAAATGAACTTTATTAATAAATGTAAATGGTTTTAAAGTAAAATTTTTGATGGAATAAATGAAATATATATTTTCTAATAATAATACACAATACACATTAAAATGAAATATAATATCTTTCGCGTGTTACGATTAATGTAACTTTATGCATTTAATTAGAATATTATTTATTTGTATATTTATACATTTTTCATATATGTATATACAAATATTTATATATATTTTGTGTGTGTAAAATTTTATATTTCATATATGTATAGGAAAACATTTTGAAATATACAAACCGCGGAAATTAAATTAAAAATAATCATAAATTACAAACATATAAAATTTGCTAATTACCTCTTGCGCAACAATTATTTTAATATACGATATAATTAAACATTATTTATAAAAATCTTTCTATAACGAAGTTAATTACTTTTATTATGAAAAAAAAATATTTTAATAACAAATTATATAAAAAATTATAATTATTAAAATATTGACAATTTATAAATATAATCAAATAAATACATGAAAAAAAAAATAGTTGATTAGGTTTCGTTTTCACATTTTCGAGAAGTGAAAATACTTTAAAGATGATTTTGTGAAAAGTTTTTTCTCTTCTTATGTATAGCACCTAAACAACTTTTAGTTTTGGAAACTTTAACCCGTTTGAAAAACTTATCGTCCAGGGAGTTTTACCAAAAAAAGAAAGTTTAGCCCTATACATCAGTTGCTAATGAGCTTTAGAAGTTGATTATTTGACATTAAAAAAAAAAAAACCTAATTAAGAAATATATATAGCAATTCTTTCGTACGTTTTAATTCTTGATTATTTTTATAGCTTTGTTTACAAAAACTATATTATAATTAAATTTCGTTATTTTCTGAGAGATAATTGAGATCTTTTAACTAATTGCAAATTATTCACACGAAAAATTAAAAAAATAGAAAATAAATTTTTTTGGATGCAAATCCTTTACTGTGAAAAAAATTTACTTTTGACTTTTATTAAATAAATATTTATTTGTAGTAAATAAATATTTATTTGTTGCAAATAAATTTTTATTTGTAACAAATAATTATTATTTGAGTCAATTAAAAGGTATTTATTTTACAGAAATTATATTGCTTCGAATATAGTTTATTTGATTCAAATAAAAATTATTTAGTTGAACATTTTTTTTACAAATATTTCGTAATAGACCAAGAACGGTTATTTAAATATTTTTTTCAGTGTAATTTTTTTTTTTTTTTTTAATCAAACACACAGGTAATTAACCAGATAAATATTAGCGTTCAATTTAAATGCATTGCAAAACATTTTGATTTACGAAAAGTGTTTAGCAAATATCATTAAAATAAAGCCGAGAAAATTAGTTAAAAAAAAAAAAGAATATCATTACCGTCCGGATAGAGTTGCAAACAAAAAAAAAAAAAGAGAGATGAAACTTTTTCAATGCTTTTTGACGGTCTGATCACTAGTTTCCGTTTGCATTCTAAATACCAAGTAACTTTAATTTAAAAAAAAAAAAAATAATTAAATTCTCATGAATACTAATTTTTTACAATACCTTTGGGTAATAAAAAAATTAAAATTAGATGACACGTGCGTGATATTGGAAAAAATGATAAATGACTTCAAAACTTTTGATTTTATATGCTCGAAAATTTATTAAAAAAAAAAAAAAATTATTACACTCTTTTTTAACCCCTTAATTTTCTTTATGTCAAATTAATTAACTGACGCAGTACGTGTTTCTATATAGACTGAAAGTGGATTTTCTTGTTTGAAGAAATCTTTTTTAATCTAAATTAAATAATTAAAAATTAAATTTTCCTTCATATTATTTTAATTCTTTTTCTTTTAATTAATTTTTAAACGAAATAAAATTATGTGCAGCTTATTTTATATATATTAAAATTTATTTATTTTTTATTTTTTTATAATTTCTGGTTTTTCTTTTGTATAAAATAATTATATTATTATTCTTCAATTTTCATTTTTCGTTTTTACAACGCAATGAAATAATGTGTTAAACTATATAGTTTATTGCCTTTGTATAATATGTTATTGTTATTTCGAAACAATAGAACGCAAATAGTAAAAGGAAGTGTTATGTTTTGACGTGCGGAAAGGTCTTTTGGTCGTAGAATACTCGTATTTATTCCATCAGCTGACACTTTCCTACTATATATATATATATGTATAACATTTATAAGTGTATATATCCTGCGAGAGGGTAAAATAGTAGGGGATAAAATGTGCTCGTGTGCGCACGCATCTTTGAATGAAAACGCTTTTCAAACCCCCCAGTATCACTAGAGAACTTCTTGGGAAAAGATCCCATAGATTTTTCAAAAAGTTCCTTCCCTTTTTCAAAAAATCGCGCTTTTTTTTAAATTAATTAAATTTATTAATTAATAAATAATAAATTAATATTAAAATTAATTTTTCATAAATAAAGTCACTTAAAAAATGAAAATCTCATTTATTTTAAAAAATTTATTTTAAATAATTATTATATTAATTTTTCCACTTAAAATTTAATGGTTTTTTTTTTTATTTTCTTCGCGATTCAATAAAAATTAAAATTAATCGTTTTTTGTTACATATAATAAAAATGTGTAAAAAAAATGTTTCTTTAAGGGAAATTTTTTTCTGAATAAAATAAAAATAGTGTTTTGTGAAAAAAAATGAAGTTTCAATGTGCGATAAGTGCTTTTTTTAAAAAAAAATGTGCCATAAAGGGAAAAATATTTTGAAATATAGAAAAGAAAAAAAAAGTGTTGAAAAACTTGTGTATAGAAATTAACGGGAAAAGTTTTACCGATATATATTATATATATATATATTCAAGAAATTATGGATATCAGCGAATTTTACAGTGAAGAAATTTCAAAACTCTTGATAAATGTGAAAGTGGATCGCGGTGTATCGAGTCAAAACCGCTTTTGCTTAATCAGAATTTATGCTGATTGGCTGTGGACGCGTTGTTCCGAGAATATGTTTTGGACCCACATAAGTACACCTACGGGAATTTTAAAGCAGAACGGATGTACTTGCGGGAAAGTTTACAATACTTGCTTACAAAACATTTGAGACCACAAAGCAAGATATAAGCGATTCAAGTTAGTAGTGACCAAAATATAAAAATTTTCCTTTTCAAAGAAAAAAAAAAAAAAAAAAATGAAGAAAAAACAGAAAAATTGAGAAACAAAATTAATCGTTAATTATAAAAAGGTAATTAGAAAAATAAAAAAATAATAACTAAATTAAAAAAAGTACATCAGAAATAAAAAAAAAATGTTATAATTCGGTAATGAAGAATTAAGGAAATAAATGAATAGAAAAAAAGATAGCTGACAATAAAAAAAAGTAAGAGGGAAAAGTATATATATATATCAGTTGGACAATGACAATCGGGAATAAGGAAATAAAAAAAAATAAAAACTATAATCGTATAAGTAGGGGAATAAATAAATAATAAAAAATGACAGTAAAATGAAAGATTAACCAACAGTAAAGGAGAATAAAAAAATATTTAAACGAAAAATTAAAAGTGGAAAAACAATTCGATAAATAAAAGAATAGCAAAATATTAATTCAATTTGACGGTAAAATATATACTTCTGTTTAAAATGATAAGTACAAAACAAAAAATTGAAGAAGGAACAAAAATGATATCTAAAAGTAGAGATGGAAAATAATTGAAAAGTAAAAAATTTTCTATTAAAAAATAAGAACGAAAAAAAAATAATAAAAAAAACGCGAAAAGAATTTTTAAAGTTAAACAATAATTTAATTAATAAATTCAAAAATTATAATAATTATTATTATAAATAAATATTACAAGTATATTAAAACAAAATAATCGAAAAATAAACCAGGGAAAAATATAAAAATTATAAATTTATTAATTGAAAACAAAGAAAAAAATGAAAATAAATCGAAGGAAAATATAAACGAAAATTTCTAATAATATTAGAAGAGAATCAAGAAGACGAAAGAAGGTAAAATTAAAAATAAAGAAGAACCCAAAAAAGAAGAAGAAAATAGGAAAAAATTTATTCCATTGTTGAATGAAATCGAAATATTTGATTGACGGAAATAAGAATGCGCATCTACTGAATATAATCGTGAAATATGATTTACGATTGGAAAATGAAAAATGACTACTGTATAATAAAAAGGTGATTTGGCAACGCAAAAAAAAAGAAAAGGTTCCGCACAAGTGTAGAAGAAATATTATAGTAGATAATGAATAGCGTTAGTTTGGTTAACTTGCATAATTGTACTGCACTGGTACTAGATCAGAACATTACTCTATTGATGGGATTAAACCGCAGTGAGCTTTTGCAGGTCCTCAAGGAAGCTTTAGATAGATCGTTACAACGTGAGGTACTTCGCGATGCTCTTTCAGATTGTCTTCAAACAAATCAACAACGACCCTTTGACCTACCATGGTGGCAGAAACTCGTCTGGTCTCTTGTCTATGCAATAATTCTAATGGTGGCTACTGGTGGCAATATTATTGTCATGTGGATTGTTCTTGGTGAGTCTTAATCATTATTGTTATTATTTCAATTTTCACATTATCATTCGCAATTTAATTCTCAATTCTATTTCAAATCGTTTTTCACCTGCAAAAGACGAATATATTTTTCAATAATTGAATTTTATTTTATAAAAACGAAATTAATAATTTAATTATAATTATAATTCACTGATTAATTTTATAGTCAGACTATATTTTTATTTTAAAAAAAACTTTTTTTTATTTATTTTCTTATTTAATGTCTCCACTGAATTTTTGACTTACTGAATATTGAAACTAGGGAAAATTGAAGTGTCTGACTAAAATTGACTACTGAATATATGAATTGTAAGATTTTTAAATAAGTCTCGCCAAAAAAGTCCTTATACTACTGAATACTAAAAGCAGAGAAAATTAAAATGACTAAAATTTACGATTGTTACGAATTATAATAATTATTTTTTATAAGTCTGATCAAAAATTACTTATACCACTGATTTTTAATTTAGTATAGAATTTAAAATATTTTGACTGACTAAACTAATTTTTAACTACTGATGATGTTAAAATTTAGTAGAATTAAATTTTTATCAGTATGACTAAAATATATTTTTTTACCACTGAAATTATAATTAGAATGCATTAAAATGTTGTCTGACCGAAACCGACTTATACTACTGAATATTAAAAAACTAGAAAAAAATTATAATCTTATGCCTGACCTAAAGAAAACTTGACTACTGATATTACGAATTATAATAATTATTTTTTATAAGTCTGACCAAAAATTACTTATACCACTGATTTTTAATTTAGTATAAAATTTAAAATATTTTGGCTGACTAAAATAATTTTTAACTACTGATGATGCTAAAATTTAGTAGAATTAAATTTTTATCAGTCTGACTAAAATTTTTGTTTACTACTGAAACTATAATTAGACTGCATTAAAATGTTGTCTGACTGAAACCGACTTATACTACTGATTTTTAATTTGGTATGGAATTTAAAATATTTTGGCTGACTAAAATAATTTTTAACTACTGCTGATGCTAAAATTTAGTAGAATTAAATTTTTAGCAGACTGACTAAAATTTTTGTTTACTACTGAAACTATAATTAGATCATACTAAACTTTTGTCTGACCGAAACCGACTTATACTACTGAATATTAAAAACTAGAAAAAAAATTATAATCTTATGCCTGACCTAAAGCCAATTTGACTACTCATATTACGAATTTTAATAATAATTTTGTATATGTCTGACCAAAAATTACTTATACCACTGATTTTTAATTTAGTATAGAATTTAAAGTATTTTTGGCTGACTAAAATAATTTTTAACTACTGCACACTGAGAGAAATGGATAGTAAGAATTTGATAGTAAAAAGAAAGATTGTACAAGGTACTATCATTGTGTTACTGACAAGAATCTACTATCAACATTTTACTATCCAAGATGTTACCCAAAGACGTAAAATATGTTAGCTTTTGGATTGTAGTCACTACTATCAAATATTGTAAAAATTAAATGTGAGCGCATGCGCTGATTGTGGTGTATACTTCGCCTATTCAATTGCGGTCCTTGTGTTTTCATGCACGTGTTTATATATAGTGAAAAAAATTGTGAATAAAAAAATGGACGAGTTTGTTAAAAATTTATTAATGTCGTGGAATATGGAATCTTTGATTCCATCTTTTGGAGGTAGGTTTATTATTTTGATTGAATTAGCGAAGACTGAAGTGTGAACGTGTTTATAACCTCAAAACAATTTTGCGTTGTTTAGACGGTGAAATTGATGAAGAATCGTTTTACTTACTGGACAATGGTACAATATCACTCATTATACCAAAACCAGGACCTCGCTTAAAATTTTTTAAAAAATTTCAAGATTACAAAAATCAAGTAATTTTTTTTTTCGTTGTATAAATGTACATGTGTTTATTGAAATTTTTTTTTGGAAAAAAAACTTTTTCATTTTTTTTCTTACTTTTTTTAAACTTAAAAATTAGTAAAATAATACAAATTCAATTGACTCTGTGAAAAAAATATACCGTTTGATAAATATATTTATGTTTAAGCAAGTCCTTTTTATAGACGGAGTGAAAAAATAGACATACTCTTTTTTATGTAAAAAGTTTAAAGTTTAAATTCTTATCGAAATGTCTTATTAAAATAAAATGAAATTATTTAAGTTTGCAAAAAAAGCGAGGTTAGGTTCGTGTATATTTGCCACTCGAGAACGTAAAGAGATCGTATAAAATTTTTAACATCAAAGATTGTAAATTGTACAATCAAATTTCTATAATCATCTGATAGTAAATACTACAATCTATATCGCTGTCTGTATATTTAGCACTAAATATGGTTGCCCTTAACATCATTATGTTACCCAGTAGCATAAATTTCTCTCCGTGTGATGATGCTAAAATTTAGTAGAATGAAATTTTTATTAGTCTGACTAAAATTTTTGTTTACTACTGAAACTATAATTAGATCATACTAAACTTTTGTCTGACCGAAACCGACTTATACCACTGAACATTAAGAAACTAGAGAGAATTAAAATGTTATGTCTGACTAAAACTATCTTTGACTACTTATTTTACGAATTATAAGAATTTTGTACAAGTCTGACAAAAAAAGACTCATATCACTGATTTTTTATTTAGTAAAGAATGTCAAGCATTCTTTCTGACTAAAACAATTTTTACTACTGACGATGCTAAAATTGCAAAAATCAAATTTTAGTAGTCTGACTAAATTTTCTTTTACTCCTGAAATTATAATTAAAACTGCATTAAACTCTTGTCTGACTAAAACCAACTTTTACTACCGAATATGAAAAACTAGAAAAAATTAGAATGTTATGTCTGACTAAAAATAAACTTGACTACTGAAATTATGAATTGTAAGAATTTTGTATATGTCTGACCGAAAATGACTTATACTACTGATTTTAAATTTAGTAAAGAATTTGATGCATTTTGTCTGACTGAAACTCTTTTTTACTACTGAAATTTTAATTACACTGTTGTTTGATTTAAATTTAGTTATATCACTGAAATTACAAATGTTGAATAATTTTAATCATTTTATCTGACTGCAACTCACTTTTACTTCTTAAACTTGAATAATTTAATTATTAAATTATATTTTGTCTAACATTAATTAACTCGCATCACTAATAAATTGTTTAAACAATTTACAATTGTCTGACAAGAGCTATTGTTAAATTTAAACTATACATTAACACAGAATGACTGAATCTAATTTATACAATTAAATTTAAAAGAAATTTATAATGTTTTGTCGGATTAAAACTGCCCTTAAAATTATTTGTACGCAAAATTTAGATTTTCAAAAGTCTGACAGCAACACTCCTTTTCTCAGTGATATAAGTCAGTTTCTGTCAGACTGTTAAATTTTTTTTTTTTTTTAAATGCAGCATCATAAGAAGTTTGAGTCAGACATAACTTTTTAAGTGCTTTTGCACTGAGGAAAAATTATATTTCAATCTAAATACAAATATAATTTTTGATGATTTTTTTTAGTTTAACTCAAACTATAAGCTTGATATTAATAAATAGGAAAAATTTACTAAATTATTTTTTTAAAAAATAATATTTATTTGAATAATATATATTTAATTCAAAAATATATTCTATTTCGGTTAAGGGAAAAAAAAATAATTTTCGAAGTTGAGTTATATTTTTATGTCCCAGTTTCAGTAGTATAAAATGAGTTTAGTTCTATGTAATCAGTAGGTAAAAGTGAGTTATATAGTCAAACTGGTCGTAATTTTTGTAAATTTTACAAATATTTTTGACTGTACGCAATAATGCATTATATTTCAATTTTTCTTTCGATGAAAATTATCTTATGTAAGATTAATTTTAATCCTCATCCTTCTTCTTTATCTTCTCTTGTATAATAAATCGCTAACTAATTGTGAATTTCTACCACTTGTTAGATGCTTACGTAATATTTGTACAGCCCCTTATATATGTGTAACCCCTTATATAAATCCGGTAAAATAAATGAATTCAATAAATTTTTTTGCTAGAATGAGATATTTATTCTATTTAAAGGTCATTTTTATCTGATAAACAATTTTTTTTTCCCAATAGAATTGAAATTTTATTGACATAACCCTTTCTGACATTTACCTTTACCTTAACAAAAAAAAATTCTCTTATACTTTTTGCACTGATAAAAACGATATTTTCGTTTATTTTTAATATAAAGTGCTTTTTTTATTAACTCGAAAATTGAAACGACGTTTCACTTTCTTTGAAAAAAAAAAAAAAACATTAAGCCAATCAATAAGGCTCTTAATGAAACAATTATTTCCTCTCAATAAAGTGAATTCTAATTGTCAAGAACAACTCTTTCTACTTAAACGTGGATAATTTGATTTTATTTGAGAAAATTTTTGATTTTGATAAAATAAATAAAATTGATTTTTACTTTTATTCTCTAAATTTGAATTAGTGAGAATTCGTTCCACTAATTAAAATTAGCAGAAATTTTAACTAATTTTTAGTTAAATACTACTGCTATTTCATTTAGTAGTATATTTTTTTTCTAAAGTTTTAGTAAAAAATGACTAAAAATTAATAAGAAATTTTAATTAATTTTTAGTAAAATATTACTATTTGACTTAGTAATACTTTTTTTTACTAAAGTTTTAGAGAAAAATGACTAAAAATAAGTAGAAAGTTTTTACTAATTCAAATTTAAAGAGCAGATTTTTTTAAAAATTAAAAAAAAAATAAAAGTTTAAAAAACTTTTTAAATCTAAATTAGTAAAAAGTGAGCTACTAATTTAAATTAGTAAGAATTTTCTCTAATTTTTAATCACTTTTTATTAAAACTTTAGTAAAAAAAATTTTAAACTACTAAATCAAATAGTAATATTTTACTAAAAATTAGTAAAAATTCTTACCAATATGAATTAGTAGCTCATTTTTCACTAATTCAAAAGAGAGTAAGAATTTTTTTTCCTCGTTTT